TTCAACCGTCCTGAAAGATGCTTAGGTGAGTTAGTTGATATCATCATCCCGACATAGGGTGGAAAATATAATATTTAGTTGACAGGACCAACTAAATCATGTTGACTTTGGTGGTTTGCTGATTCCCTGTTGGAAGATTCACTTTTGGATCAAGAGACACAGAATCTAAGCGCATGGCTACGGTACAATCCATCAAGTACGTGCAGCAATGGCATGTTGCTCACTGATGGTGATATTATCATGAAAGTTTGAGGGCAACCTATGGCAACCCCCTAACCAACACGGGCTTAATCACTTTGATACGTCTCTAATAGCTGTTGATGTGGGTTAATCTTGGTTGGTGGGGGGGTGACCAGTATTAGAGACTACGAATGACTCAACTCACCCAACCTATATACAGAATATATATATATATATATATTACCCTCTGGTTATTTAACGCCATGGAAAATGGTCCATTTATAGATGGTTTACCCATTAAAAAATGATGATTTCCATGGCAATGTTAAATAACCAGAGGGTATATATATATTGTATATATACAGTAGAATTAAATAACATATCTTTCATATGGGTTTAGATTTTGAGTGGTTACCGATGGTTACCGATCATATGATGATCCAATGGGAAATCACGGGTCACGGGCACAGCAAGCCCCGACCTGAACAGCTGAGAGCTTGCGCGTGAAATGCGACGAGGCCATTGGGCCTCGAATTCCGCCCATTGGTACCATTCTTCCATGGAAAAATCTTGGAAAACCATAAAAAATGAGAATACCCTCTGGTAATTTAACATAGCTAATTATTGAAAATGACAATTTTTAATGGGTAAATCCACTATAAATGGCCATGTTCAATAGCTATGTTAAATTACCAGAGGATAATCATGTAAAAATGGTGATGAAAATCATGAAAAATTAGCTTCATCGTGGAACAATGGTGATTGATGCAATGGGAAGTTGAGACCTCTTTTCATGGGAACGCACGGCGTGCAACGGGACTGTTAGGGTCCCAGTTTCCAAACTCAATTCTGGTTAGTGGGGGCCCACTTTAAATTAAAATGTGAACCTAGTTGGGGTCACTATCCCATTTTTGGACTTATATAAACCAAACACTGCGAGAAACAACCATGCAACATGCAACTCAACTTGCTGCAGTTCAGACCGTGTTCCACCAAGAATGCAAAAGACAACCAAGAGGGATGACCAGGCTGATAGTTTCCCTACTGCTCATATCATACTCATATCTGCTCACCATCATTTATCATGTGCTGTATCAGCCTCTGCCAAGAAACCAATTGATAGATAGCTGCTCCACGGCACTTGGGTCAATCCTCTGGTTGAAGTGAAATGATCCTGCGGCACGCAGCCCAAACACATCAAACACCCGCAGATCCCGCAGGCACAATATCCATCAATCGGAATCAAAACATGATTAAAGCTTGGAAATAAATACCAACCCAACAAAGAGATTGCAAAAAAGGAAGAGGTCTACGAATGATCACAATGACCATCACAATGACCATTCCTATCCAAAATCTGACGTCGTTACTTCATGTTAATTCGCAGCTTTCTTCACTCGACCGGTCCCACTGCTCGTGCGGCAATCCAAAGGGATAAGCTGAACCATGCGAAGGCAGCTACAATGTGTCCTGGATCTTTGACGATGGCTGGGACATCCCAAACGAGCGAGCTTTGTAGCTGGAAAGTCATCGAACTATGCCATGGGTAAGCGTGGGTAAGGTTTGAGTGACTGAGTGTGACAATGACCGGTCCTCTCCAGTACTGAAGAATCTAATTGTCAACACGAATCCGTTTGCACTATAATCACCACTTGAGCGGGGTTTTATTGTTTTTCTATAATTTAGGGGGTTACTACAGCAGTATATCCAAATGATTCCAAGTAATCATATCACCAACGGCAATTGGACATCTAACCGCCATTAAGACAAGCTAAAGTAAGTAGCTTTCCAGGGCCCACCTCCCCAAAAAACACCGAGAGTTCTCCAAGTGGTGGGTCAGACCTCAAAGTTGAACATGTGCACAGAATACCCCCCCGTGATCCAAATGTTGATACAAGACACCTACGAATCTTTATGAATCTTTGATCCACAAGAATGACTGCAATCCGTGATTTTTGGAAGGTGCCCTGGTAAACCACGAAATGTCGTTTGTAAATGCATGTTCATCCCCGTACAAAGGCGTAATTGATCTTCCATTAGAGGTATCCAGAATTGATCTATGAACAATGCCTCCAGTTTTTGAACAAAGGCTTTGTTTATGTTTTTTTTAATATACCCTCTGGTTATTTGACATAGCCATGGAAAATCCCTCATAAATGGTGGTTTTAATAGGTCAACCATCTATAAATGGGCCATTTTCATCCATGTTCCATGGTTATGTTAAATAACCAGAGGGTATATCCACACATATCCACACGACAACAATTATGGCTCGGTTTCCATTTACGCCCATGCTGTGCACTGCAAATCCTCTCCTGTGGCATGCACTCGCTTGGTGTCCTTCATGGATTCGCGTGCATTCTCACCTGGTGCAGTGGTACGGCACACATTTTGGATGGTTGATTCATGGGATAAATGACCAAAGTTTATATATATATTGTATAATATATAATATATAATATAATATAATATAATATATAATATATAATATAATATATAATATAATATATAATATAATATATAATATAATATATAATATAATATATAATATAATATATAATATAATATATAATATAATATATAATATAATATATAATATAATATATAATATATATATATATTTATGTAGGGTCCCAACCCATCAAACATATGGTCTTTCACCATCAAACATTTGGGGAGACAAAGGGTTACGAAGTGAAACATCGATGACACAAGCGTCTGAAAGCCATCCCTTCCCCATTTTGATTTGCAGCAAATATTGATACAATTGATAGATGGTGGGTAGGTGGTGAGTTTGGTCGGGAATTCTACTATCCTTCATATATTGGGGATGATCACAGTCATAGCCCATAAGCTGGGAATCCCTGATTCTCCTATAGTTTAAAAACTACAGCTCAGTTGATGTGGGGTAATGCTGGGCACCGAATGTGGCCAACCAATGCTGGAATGGTGAGAAGTTGCAGCCATCAATGGTTGCTATGACCAACCAACCCCGGTTTCCAAGCTTTGCCCTCCAGACTTCAACAAACAAGTCAGGTTCTAGTCCTACAAGGGACCCTTGGAACCAGCCAAGATGACAACACGGGAATCTCATCAGAATCAACTCTTCTCTTCATCCCGAGCAGGTTTTCACTCAGCTACCAGTGTCCCAAGTCACGGCTCTGCGCCAACAAGTCATGTAGCATCCTTGGCGCCGGGGCTATGCCACCAATGACGGGGGGGTGATTTCAACTTGCAGCCAGGCAACATCAATCAACCACTCAACCATCAATCACTGCATTAATCATACAAACATGAATTCATCAACCGCCAAACATGCCTGAACAAACACACATCTAAAATCATCTAAACATATCTAAACACAGTTTATGAAAAAAAAGTCCATCCATCCATCCATCCATCCATCCGTCCGTCCGTCCGTCCGTCTGTCCATCGTCGGTCCGTCCATCCATCCATCATCCGTCCGTCCGTCCATCCATCCGTCCGTCCGTCTGTCCGTCCATCCATCCATCTGTTTCTTCTCAACAAATCCCCAAGTGGCGGCCCCAAAGTCTCCTGCGCCTCCAAGTCCTGAGGCGAAATTCGTGTGGAAAAATATGACTTGGTCTGGCAAGAAGCTGCCCTTGAATTCCATGGTTTTTCATCTTGCTTCATGGTTTTTCATAATTTGTTCTTTATTTTTTCATCACTTTTCCATATGTTTCCCATAAACATTGCATTTGTTTCCCATGACAATGGCCATGTGGGGTGGTATACCACATTTTAAGACACACCCAATTCTTAGATCTCCAGAAACGATATACCAAAAATCACCAATCTGAAGCCTTGGTAAATAATCGTCAGTGTAAATCAATGTAAATCATCTAAATTCTCAGGTCTTTTTCATGACATAAATCGAAGTCTTTTTCAGCCCAAACTTTCCAGCCGCGGCTCCTTCACTTCGTAGCTCTGCTGTGGCGTCTCTTTGGACTCAGCTGCTGGCAGAACCATCCAGGTCAGCAGGCTGTGCAGGAGCGCCTGGGATTTTGAAAGGAACGGGGGTAGATATGAATACTAGAAAAACCCGAACATACAGGGTTGAAAAAACGTTTCGAAATGGGTATTAAAGAATTGACATTATGAATCAATAAAAAATCATATGAGATAACAGGAGACAGTAGACATACTGAAATCCCATTGTGATTTCGCCGATGCTTATGCTGGTCATCCCCAAATTCTGAGGTCTATGGGATTCACCGCTCGGTGTTTCTCTGCCTTCAACCCCGCGCGTAGTGAATGGCACTTAGGGAATCGTATGATTGGGGCCCATGTTTCACCCAGTAGCCATCATCAGATAGGAGCAAAAGACCACCTCTTCGCTGCTGCTGAGATCGCCCAGTAGAAACATCAGAGGAACCGCCACGGTGAAGAGTCGAATGCACAAGCGGAAGCTTCTCTTGGGCGGCTCCTGGCGTTGGGGGGCTGATTCTACGGGGGGCTAGGGAAAATGTGACCAAAGAATCGGGAAGCATCGTTGTTCATAGGAAACCAGGGCTGAATCTCGGATTTCTGGGATTTCTTGTGGCAGAGAAGCAAATCACCAAGTGTCAAATCGATCCGGATCCTATGCACCAAAGATCACAAAAGAATGTCGGAAGCACGTGATGGCCGTGATGGGTCCTTTTCGCTCTCGAACTTGATGGTCAACATTCGGTTTGCCACCTTCGCGACAAAGTCTCAACGGTCGACCAACCACCGGTTCCAAAAAAATAAAACCGTTGGGACTCTCCTCCTTAGAGAAGTACCCTCTGGTAATTTAACATAGCTATTGAAAATAGGCATTTATAGTGAGTTTTCCCATTAAAAATGGTGATTTTCCACAGTTATGTTACCAGAGGGTACTTGCTTGGATCAACTTGAGCTTAACACTTCATCATCATCGTTTTGGACCACGAAACTTTTCCTGGCAGTGTATGGGCCATGGGCAGGTCTCAAGACTTATATAATCCCCACGGTTGACCCATGCGAAAAACTGGGTATGAAGAAAAAGAAATGGCAAATCATCAGTGTCACAGGACTGGAAGCATCATCATGTCACATGATTTCCAGGCATCAGAACAAAAAATCAATGTTTCATGCCTATCTATCCCCAGTCCCCTGTGGATTAAACCCAAGCTGTGGTCCGAATCCACATTTTGAATGGTGGACATCCACAATTGGGCGGTTAAAATCCAGGTTTTTGGTGGTAATATAAATCCACAAGTTTGGCAGACAAAGTTGTCAATTATGGGCACTTGAAAACCCATTGTAATTTGTGTCCCAGGGTCGAGTCGAAACCCATGGAGTCCCCATCTGCTCACCCTCATAAATGGCTGCGATTTGTGGATGTTCATTCCCTCCAGATATCTTTTTTTTGGAACATCATAGGTAACTGGATCCATCGCCACAATCCCTGTATAGCTAACATATTACACTTATTACACTATTACATGTTATTGTCAATGGATTGGTTTAAGGGAAAATCTACAGGAAACCATAGATTTTACCATCAAATATAGGGCTTTCCTGTAATTTTTCCCATAATCCAATTCTATGTTATTGGTGAGAACTTTCCATAGTATCCCAATGTTCATATCCAAAATCCAAGCACCATTTTCCCCAAAACCGAGGTACAAGGACACCAGCTACGCTGAGGGTCACATAGAGATTCACCGCTCCCCAATGACTCCGGTCATATTCGTGGCCCAGTGCAAAGAGCGCAAAGCCCTGAGCCAAACAAAGGAGATATGAGGCTGAGGAATATAGCCCACCAAATAACTGTACTTTGAAATACTATGAATCTAATGAAGAAAATGGTGGATCTATAAACTATAATAACTACTGTACTATGAATAACAAAGATTTCAATTTAACCAAGCAAAATGGGGATGAACTCACCAAACCAAGATTCAACCTTATGATAAACCCGAGCAACATGGGATTTGACAGGGACTTGACCTTAACCAATACATGCATGAATCACGAACCAATCACCAATAAAAGGTGGGACGTCACCACTACATCAACCAACACATTGTGGATACAAAGCCATGGTAAAAGATTGGTAATGCTCTTCACTGTGGATGTTTTGAGGACACGTGGCCAGGGTTGGCAACTGTGAAATCCCAGCTGGAGAAGCAGCTGATCCCGCCTGGCAGAGTGCGCAAATGCCATTGCCCATGCACCTTGGCAGAATCTGTGGGTGATAGCCATCCCAAAATGGGAACATGCTAAGACTTAAAGATGAAACAACCAGGTCTGAGGTCTCCTGATTTAGAACGCTGACTTCAAAGTACCTGGATTCTCAGACTGGGCAGGCTTGGTGGATTCCAAAGCACAGGCCTTTCACAGATACGAACGCAAAACAAAATAATAAATACTTGGCTGGGATGTCAACTGTCAACCACACTTGGCCAGTTGCAGTGTTTGTATTATTCATTGAAGGGTTCTGTTCAAAACAATACTCGTATCCATGGTTTGTCCGATCCAAACGGGATTCTTGATTTGGCAAATTGTCTGGAAATAGGCTACTCTGAAATCCCATGATAAAATCGTGGTTGAAATTTTCCCTCAGAAAGTTTGTAGATTTTGCTAATTTTATCCTCCTATTTTTTGACAAACCCATTTGAGAAGCCCACCATCCCACGGTCCAGAGAAATCACCCCGACTTCACCAAGCAACTCATTGGAAGCGTCGGCGCTTGGTTCCCAGAGTTTGTTGAATTCTCCAGTTGCCTGCGATGGGATCCACTCCCGAGCAGTCGAGGCGCGCTTGGGCAAAGTGGGACAGCTAAAGAACTGATTGGCAAATGAATGTTCATGTATATTCCGGGGGTTTGAAGTGACCCACATCCATCAAAACAACCGGCGCATATATTCCAATGGCTACAGCATCTTTAAAAAAAACAAAGTAAATCAAATTGCTGTACCATGTATGCTTGCAGCCCCTGTGAATTGGATAGTATCTTTGTCCCTTGCCTTGAACTTGTTCTCTCCTGGAGGTGGCCTTGGAGTCGCGAGCATGCAGCGTTTCACACTTGGGGACTTCCAAGTTGACAAATAGACAAGTTAGATTAGATTCTATCGATTCATATAGATTGGAGTAGAGTAAATCGGATTACACTAGCTTAGATTAGATTAGATATTTCTAAGTATATATATATACATAAATGTGTGTGTGTGTGTGTTAGATACATATGTTGCAATAACACAAACCATTTTTCTTCCGAAATCCACAACGAACATTGGCATATAAGGCCACCAATGACCATGTGGAGGGAGTTTCATCCGTTCCTTGACAATTGGCCACCCTTGTGATGGTACATGTTCACCATTGGAAACAGCCTAATTCTCTAATGTAAATAGTGATTGTGATATGTTTTATATGTTTTAATTTTAATACATATATATATAATTATCTATACATACATATACATCTCATGTTACCTAATTAGCTAGCCACATAGCGATAATATCATAATGATACTTGATACCACCATAGTTTCAAGTCCAAATCAAATGTTTACTCCCTATATCAACTTCAACCGGAATCAAAAGCGGCAAAACTGGACAAGAACTTAAGACTCAAGAAAAATCAGCACCAAGATTTCGATGTCATGTAATTAATATACATTTGGTACAGGATGGTGCCCCCCAGTTATAAGTTGGTTTATAAACCCCATGAACTATAGTTATATCTGCCATAAATCATAGTTATGGGAGTTATAAACCAACTTAGCTAACTATGGGGCACCACCTTGTACTATTAATAATGAAATGTAATGAACATATCTCAGGGATGGAGATATCTCCCCTGTGGAAACCACAGTCTTCTCCCTTGGCGCCTCGGCGTTTTCTTTGTGCTGAGCTCATCCAGGGGAAGGTCTGGCCACGCTTTCGTGCAGCCCGAGCTTTGAGGTACAAAGGGACTAATCCCGCCATGTTTACAACTTTTAGCTAAAATAGATACAATCTATGTAATGTAATGGTGATGTATTGCATTGCATTGCATTGTATGTGTAGTCTATTACATTGTCTTGCATTTGTATGTGTATTTGTACATTGTACTTATTTGTATGGCATTGCATTGTACTGTGTTTTACCGCGTTGTATTGTCTTCATCTGATTTGTATTGTATTGGATTGCCATGTATGTATGCATGTATGTGAACCATCAAGGTTGGTATGAATGGTTTTATTAAAGGGAACACGTGGAGAAACTGCTGAGTTTAGTAATTCTTACCTTCATATATTCTATTTTTTCTACAACACGCCCCATCAACCAATTCGGGATGGTTTCAACCCTGGTTGAAAAATCTACATATTACATCTGGGTAAATCATGGTAAATCATAATAATTCACTGACCTGCAATAAAGCTATATTGGGAAAGTTACCCCTTACTAACCATTATTCCAGGGTTCGGTCGCAGCCCCTCTAATTCCCTAAAAACAATGGGGAAAATCATAGGAAATATGGGAAACATATAGGACATCCTCTATAAACATGAAGGTTTATAGCTGGGAAAATCATGTATAAATCGGAGCTTTTCTCAAGCAAACCATGTTTAATTTTCAGGGGGTATCTTGAATTCTCAACCTTATCAGTTGCATCGTCTCAGCTTTGGACTTTATGAATATCATTGATTTGCCGATTGATGAACCACTAAATTTACTGAGTTCATTCGTTTTTCTCGATCAAACATATGATGTTCTCGGATGTTCTCTTCCAACCACAAACAATCAAAGTATATGCATCCATATCCCCGTCACTATGTTGCCATATCTCCTCATCCTATCCCCATCACCCAAAGCCACTCTTGCACTGCTTCGCGCCTGTTCCCTTCTGGAAGAATCGGGCGAAAACTGGGAGGCGCCATTTCTTCATTGAACTATTCACCTTTTCCACGTAGTCGAAGTCATCAAAACTGGCAGGATATGGCATGGCAGGTTGGTATCCTGGGGATATTTCACGGGTATGTAAACACATGAAAATCAACAAATAGGGATTTTAGTTAATAAATCATAGGTACAAATGTTTATCTCCAACCCTCCCAGGCCCATGGAATCCTTGCAGTTTTGTTTAACCTGGAGAAGCCCTTCTGGTGAGTACTTCATGGATCTTCATGGTACTTTGTATCTGGACGTCAGTTTACTGCTAGTCATCTGCACGTGAGGAAGCCCTGTCAACCAGAAGCGTTTTGAAGCTCAACATTTTTTGGACGTGTCCAACCGTGGTTGATAAGGATTACAAGCATGAACAGCAACATAGTGCTTGGGAATTGACCGGCTCTCCGACAGTTGCATTCAATATTGGGCTGCTTGACTCTTCTGTTGAAAGTCGACTGAGATAAATTAATCCCGTGTTGGGGGATAGAATTTCCGCAACTGAACATTCCCCTACTCTTCAAGATCTGCTTTGCAGTCCAGTTTGTCATTCAAACCCAGTTTGGACCCACAGTGTTGGCCACTTTTCCGTGTCCATTATATATCTATATATACATTTGATTTTTTGCAACTAATTCTAGCAAACCCCCAAAAATAGAAAAGTGAAATCCTACGAACATAGTCGGAAATGATGTATCTATTTGTTGCTGGGGGATGGTATTGTAGTATAGATATATAGTCTCTTAAATATCATCAAAGAACATAAAATATAGTTATATATAATATATATATATACATTTTGGATCCTCTAAATTCCCAATTTTCCGATCCAATGATCAATGATCTATAATTATTGATAAACATTGCCCCATCTCCAGATCTCCGCAAAACAAACGGCGCCTCAGTTGATCTGGCACCATATGCAGCAGGTACTGCCGGCTCTCGGCATACGACACGCTGACCGCCTTCATCGCAAAGACCATCGCTAGGCCGAAAAAGAAGAAGGAAATCACGATGCCTGGGGATGTGGGTATATGAATGGTTGATGGGATGTTCATGGCATATTATGTAGATATCAATGGTGCGTTGATGGCTACATATATATGATAATTAAATAAATATATTAACTATATATATATGTGATTATATGTGTGTGTGTATTGGTTATTGGGGTTATTAGGATGCGATGTAATGTTGTTACTAAAACAATAAATGGGTGGTAACCATCAAAATATGGATGGGGTATGATGGGGTGGATGCCATGGATGGGATGGATGGGATGTGGCCGGCCACCAAAAATGGACATGCTTGATGAGAAATATGAGAATTCATCGGCAAAAATACCGATTTCAACTTTCAACCATATTTCAACAACAAAAAGTGGGATTGAACCGATTGAATTGAACCTATCAAAAAAATAAACGACAAAACCCATACAAAAGCGAGCAAACAATTGACGAAACATATCCACTTATACTGGGGTGATCCCAACACACTGCGGATTTCATTTGATCTGCAACACTTAGTTTTTTTTTAAAATAACCAAAGACATATGGGAGAACGATCCAACAAACTTGCAGTGAATCGCTAGGATGATACCAAAATATGAGGTTTCACCGTTTCACCAACCAATCTGCGGACCAGCGTCCACCACAACCGAAATTCCTCCTATCTTTATGTCTCTATGTTCGTTTGACATGTTGAATTTGGAACCTTTTCTTGACTTGACTGGGTTTTTAACGTTAAGTGAATTGCGGTGCTGTTGCTCGTGTGGTTGTATGTGAATAATGGAATGGACGCATTGTAACATGCAGTAAATACGGTGTTTTTTGGATGTTTTCCGTTCATTGTTTTCTTACGCCAAGCGGCAAAAAACGTCGTAAATACATGTATGTAGACATCGTGTGTTTCTTTTTTGATTCGGGGATGCCACAAACGTCGGGGTTTGTGATTGTTTTTGCTCCAATAGAATCCAATAGAGTGGTCTTCAGGAACCAAAACACAATCTATCATGTCTGTTTTGGGCCGCCATCAAGAGCAAAAGCAGGTGCATTCATGATGGTTTGGTGGGATTGAACAAAAAAAACGCCAAAACGTGCAAAAACAATGAACCTGGCGATTACATGCGATTACAGCATCACTGGCGTGCGAAATTCCACAATCTGGGGAACTAAACAAGTTTTCAAAACTCTCATCAGAATTAGAATTTGACAAGCGAACCCTGAAACAGAGCAGAAATGATCTAGACATTCTATTCTGAACAATGGGTGGAGGTGATGAAAGATGCTTCATGGTTGGGCCGGGCCGACTGCTTTGATTTGCTAGCATCTCACCAAAACCAACAGGAGAACGAGCATTGCGCAAAGGAGTTTGCGTATTAAAATGCAACACATGTTGTCCAAGTGTGAACTTTTTCTGCTCCCATTGGCATTGGGTTAACTTTCTCTTTGGTAAAGGGGTATCGTTTATTGTGGCATTGGGCTAACCACAGTGAGTCCTTGTATGATCTGCGGCAGATCGTGCCAAACTGATTTCCTCTTACAGACTGATTTGAGGTAAAAATGCCAATTCCTATTCATGAAACGCAAAATCGTTCACTGTCCTTAAGTACCATCTGGCTTATTTCCCTGAGATAAGCTTGTGACATGTTAATGAATGTGTTTCTGTTGACATGGTTCAACCATACAAATCATGAAATTTGTCAAATACAAATCCAATTTAGCATTGAACAAATTGAAACCTACAATTATAGCTTTGGAATCTCCGATTTTATGAAACATCCACATGGCTCCATCGGGCCAAGATGCAATGGTAGAAGGAGTGATGCAAGAAATCCTTGGTAACTGGGACGATCTCTGCAACGAAACGTGGGGCCCCGTAACCCATCCAGGTCAAGCAACAAACCTTCCAAAGCACTGTATCTTGAGAGGGATTTCATCTACCACTTCATTTGTGGACTATGGAAGCCCCATACTGAGCTCTTAGGTGTATGAGCTTGCTCAACACGACTCGATGGGTAAAACATATAGTAAGACCATAGCAAAAAAACTTTGTAAAACCTTGAAAGGTTCCAGGTATGGCAGATCCGGCACTGAAATCACTGTCCACCGGCAGTCCAAGAGGCAGGTGCGGTCTCATCAATTGTGCCCTCGCAAATGAAGGATGCAGCGATGCCCAGAAACAACGTGCCCTGCGATCAACAAATGAAGAGAAAATTTGCAGGATCTTTGGAAACAAATTTTCCGTGGTATCCTTTTTGACTTGGAATATATAATATATTGATCTTTAAACGGAAATTGACCGATATTGTCTCCATCGAAGTTATATGAAAACATTGGCCTCACTGGCCTGAAAGTTGGATCGCCAATGTGGTGTTTTCCCATGCTTTATCCACATTTCAATGGGAAAATTATGATAAACATTGATACACCAGTTTTGTAGGTACCATTGATAAAGTCTGGCATTTCATGGTTTCAAAATTGGAGGTACCCAATTTTCAGACAAAAGATGTTTGATTCAACAAACTCTGAATGGATGAAGCTGGGTTCCCACGTACAGCTGGGACTAACTCTCGGCTTGAGCCACCCGCTCAGGACATGTTTCTCACGAGATCCCATAGACTTGATGCTAATTGAATCATTAGCATGCGCAGACAGCTTTCACCACCTTTAGAACAAATGTATCAGCTGGCAACACCTTGTTGACTAAAAACACTTGTTGGAGATCGCAATGATCAATGTTTTCAGTTACTTGGTGGACCTCTCTAAGACAACATGTTGATGTCTAAGTACCCCAGCTCTGATATCCACTGTAATCTATGTTAATGGCTACAGTGCTACATTGCTTCCCTCGCCAACAACCCCAACCATGCTAGGATATAACCGACAAAATTATATGGGTTCATCTAATATGGAAATCATTGGAAATCCCTAAAACACACAATTTTTTGATCACCACTTTTCCCATTAAACAAGTGCAATTGTTTGGTTTCTTGGGGTAAATCCCGCCCAGTTGGCTTCCAAGCCGGTCCATAATCATGTTGTTGCTCATTCTGCCAACGAAGATCGTCATGAAGTCCCGAATCTGTGGCAGGCCCGGCAGGGGAAGTCCCCATCCAAATTGCCCCAAGAAATGCTCCACATTTGGCGTTTGGTATTGGTATTATATCCGCTATAATGTATATATAAATATAATCATAATATATATATATATATTATACGTGTCCTGACCTCCTCCCGCAGGTTGACGATGAAGCTCAAGTCCATATTCTTCTGCTGGTACCTTGCTGGCCGTAATAAAAAGCCGATATTTGAGGCAGCTATGAATGAGACCAGGCAAGAACAAGTAAGCTGTTTGAACATGTCCCTATTATAGACTTTATAGATCAGTAATGAAGGGCTACTACTACATATCATATGATTTTTGGAACTGGAAAGTATAACTGACTACTAGCTGCATCCAGTGACAACTACTCTACACACAAACGACCCAGCTAACTTCAGATACGAACGCCCGGATCTATTTAACTCCGACCCACCCCATTTTGCTAGTCTTTCTAGCGTGGCTGGAAACTGCCATCAAATGGACACAAGGTAATACTTCTACCCTTCAAAACAAGACGATCTTCATCATCTTTAGCAATCACCTCCCACTTTCCGCTCGCCAATGTTGACTTCGGTTCCTGATCTCAAGCTTCAAACACTTCCCAACTATGAAAGTGTCAAATTATCATCCCATGTCAAAGGATTAACATGGATTAACATATTTTCAGAAATGTGAAACAAGAAACAATGGTTGAATTTCGCTCTATCCCAAATTTAAAGGAGATAAACTTAGCTAAACAGCAACTTTTCACCATTTTTTGGCATCCACAGCCCCAAAATCTTCACCAAGATACGCCTGTGCTTGGTGCACCCCAACCGATGTGTTGACACGGTCCAGGTGCAACTCCTGCGGGAAAATCCATGGCTTTTCCATGGCTTTTCCCTGTGAAAAAAATTCCGGCCTTTGACCCAATTCTGGCAGAAACTCTTTGGTTTTTTGGGTTTTCTACATAATCGGGGGTTTCGTAAATTGGGGGGATCCCCAAAATACTAAGTCATCATGGTCCAATGACTGGATGATTTGGGGGTATCCCCACCTACGAAACCTCCATATGGGGAACCTGCGGAATTTGGATTTCACCAATGCTCCTGTGCCCCCAACAGCAGCGAGACAGTGGTCATGAATTTTCCAACTCCGAAGAGCATGGCGACCGGCGACCCCGGCGACCGGTGACCGGGGACGATAACTAGGGAAACCGATTGAGCCAATGGAAACTGCGAGAAGTGAAGTGCTGCTTAACCAGCCGATGAATTCATGACCATTTTGGAGTTTTATCTCGTTTCGGACAAATGATCTATGTCCTGTCCATGTTTTCCAAATACAACGATTGAAGTTAGATGTGAAGTTGTGTTGAATCAACTTTAATTGGACCTTCAAGGTACTGTATTCAACATTATTCAACCATATCTGGTTGGTGGTATACCTACCCCTCTGAAAAAGATGAGTTCGTCAGTTGGGATGATGACATTCCCAATATGATGGGAAAGTCATAAAAGCCATGTTCCAAACCACCAACCAGCTGATCTTGTTGGTTTATAAACCATTATCCTCCCCATTAACTATAGTTCTATCTACCATAAACCATAGTTAATCCACCAACCAGTTATAATAGTTTCACTAACTATGGGTCAAACATGTCGGACCAAGATCCAGAGGTCCAGGTCTCCCGGCCCTGGGCGATTGGCCGCCTCTGGAGTGCCGATTTTCCGCGCCTGAGACTGGTGACACCGATGGGATTTTAAAAAAAATATCCCCCCAGAAATATATGTTCCATATATGTTCCATATGGCAGTGTGTCAAAACCTTGTACCCCTGGTGAACATCAAAATAGCTGGTAAATGGATGTTCATCCCCCTAAAAATGGTATGTATAGGTATTGATCCATAGCCATATATGTTCCATATATGTTCCATGTATACTATGTTTATCTATATGTTTTCTTTCCAAAAATCCCAAAAAAATGGTTGGTGAAGCCTGAAAAATCCGAAACATCACATGTTTCCAAACGGCGTGCCTCCATGGCATGTTTCGCCGCGGAGCCCACCGCACCGCCGCTGGCGGGGCGAGGTAAAACCTGGTAGGGACTGGTGGATGTGTTTGACCAGCAAAAAATTGGGGGATTTGATTGGATTTACATGGGATTTATATGGGATTTACATGGATTTTTATGGAATTGACATGGTTTTTTATGGGATTTACATGGATTTTTATGGGATTTATGGGATTTACAATGGAAATTAGAGCTGATTATGTTGGCTACGTTGGTTTATTGGTTTATAATTACAAGTAAGATAATTAGGGTGTATGCTAGATCTATCTATTGTTAGTAGGGGTTATGAACCAACTCATAACCTAATTACTGGTTGGTGCCCATCCCAAAAACCAGGGACCATTTTTTACACGGCAGAGATGTTAGTGGAAATCCCCAGTGTATGCCTTTCTGTTGGATATTGGGTTTCATATTTCTGAGCTCTTTTTGGTCAAAGTACGAGGTGAAGGGGCTTAGTTTGTTTTGTGCTTCTCTTGTGGGGCTTGGGATTGAAACTCAATTTCAATTTCAGACCCAACTTCGGTATATTCCATACATGGCACCGACTTAGACTTGGGCGTAGCCTACAATATACCTTGGATTCCAAGATTGCCCATCTCAACTGTCACTTGCGTGAAACTCCACATAGGCTGGTTGCCCAAAATTTCCATCATGCTTCCCAAAAATCCCTGAGTCAGGTGTGTTTTTTTAATAAAAATTACATAACCTCAAACATATCAATTGATTAGTGATTTTGATATGGATTCCGAGAATCCCCAATAGTGTAATCTACTAATCATCAACATTTTAGTAAGTGTAATCCACTATATATTCCACTAATCCTCATTACTTTGTAATCAATATATTACACTCCAGTAAACTAACAATAGACCCTGGTAGAAAAATCGGGCTTGGAAGATGAGTGAGTTTCCACTAAACAGTTATTTTCAGGCTCAAACTGTTAATTTACTGGAGGGTACCCTCTGGTAAACTAACATAGCTATTGAAAATGGCCATAGAAATAGTGGATTTACCCAATAAAAATAGTGATTTTCCATAGCTATGTTAATTTACCAGGCCGGGTAGCTAATCTAATCCCTGTACTAATCAACGATCATCATCAACCTCAGGAATCCATCGGTGAGTTTCTTGCCCGCCTCACCCAGCGGAGGAGACATCTCTGGCTCAATCTCGCCCTGACAGGAAACCATCAAATGGTCGGATGTCTGTTTTCGGGAAAATCTTCAGGAAACCAAAGTTTTTTGTTTTAACCATCAAATGTATAGATTTTTCCCTGGAAAACCAATCAATCCAATGAACCAAGAAGCATTTTCATATGTTGAAATGACTGTGAAAATATCTGGTGTGCATTGTGATATTATGTGATACTTTGTATTGGATCCTCATATAGGATCTTCATATATATATATATATGTATATATATATATTGTTTGCGACACATATTATAAGTATTGAGAATGTATGACCGACTCAATATTTAATATGTACCTATGAACCCATGTGCGAAAAAGGTAGTCACCAATAAATCTGGGGATCATTAGGGATTTAGCCAGAACAATAGTGATGATGATCATCTGTATAAAATATGATTTAAGCAAAACTATTGAGGACATGGTTTTCTATCCCGTTCACTGCATAGTGTACATGGTTGCCACAAGCAATGATGAACCAACATGGATTTTCCGCAATAATGTCCTTCCGGGGCTTGGATACCATGTATCAGTACTCAACCAACAAGAAATGGCATTTCAGTGGACGTGCTTTATTAATCATTAGATTCCCATGTTTGAATATATCAAATGCATCATATATGATATAATATATGACTAATATTGATTATTATATTCCCATATTCCCATACATATCAAATGTCATAGTCCCAACTAACATTGCTCCTTGAGACGGGACTCATCACTGACCCACCACAGAGGCGGGCGGGAAATCACTGTATTTTTCTTTGTTTGTCTATCTTTTTATATGTTTTTTTGGTTCGAGATTTGATATCAATCGTAAATATCAATCAAATTCAATCAATATCTAACATCATTGTTGATATATCAATTTATATATATATATCAATTATCTCAGTTTGATCTCAATCAACTTACCTAATATCAAATAAGATCACATATTGATCACATATCACTGCTTGGTGGTATACCTACCCTTCTGAAAAATATGACTTCGTCAGTTGGGATTATATATCATTCCCAAGATATGGAAACCTATAAAAATTCATATTCCAAACCACCAACCAGGAGTATAATCCCATATAATCTTTAACCAACAGGGGTTTTAGCCACTTCTCATCTGACCATCATCTGGTGGGGGAAACTCTGGTGGGGGTACCCAGCCTGGTAAACTGTCCCATAGCTATGGAAAGATCCACCATTTTTAATGGGAATTCATCCACTATTTCTATGGCCATTTTCAATAGCTATGTAACAAATTACCAGAGGGTACCCTCCAGTAAATTAACAGTTTGACCCTGAAAATAACTGTTTAGTGGAAACTCACTCATCTTCCAAGCCCGATTTTTCTACCAGTGTCTATTGTTAGTTTACCAGAGGGTATCAACATCTACCTATCTGCTTATCATCACCGCGGTGAACCACCGCATCGGGGTTCCTGCGCCTCGGATTTTGCCTTCGTGGCCATTAAGGCGGTGTACGCCGACCTCACGGTGAGGCTTGGAACTGCCAGGAGAAAAAGGTGCACAATAAAGACCCGTATATAAAAACCAACTATGTAGGGTATATTATATATATAAACATACATATATATATAACATATATATGATATATATTTATATATGTATATAATATATATATAGATTTCCAATTCTCTCCCTATTTTGGTTGGTGATATCATCGAATCGCATCAAATCCTGTGAACAAATCCCATGAAAAACCAATTTCAATCCTGTGAAAAATCCTATGAAAGCCCACAAACAACCCTGCAGTTGGATTGAGTAACTGAGCTTCCACACGACCGGGCCCGCTCCGCAGCAGCCCGGAGGATCTGCGAGGGACGATGGGAGTCATTATCTTGAGAATGGTACTTGTGTATCTATAATAAATATCCTGTTGGTGGTTTTAACCATCTTGAAAAATATGAAAGTCAATGGGAAGGATTATCCCGTATATTATGGAACATAAAAAATGTTCCAAACCACCAACCAGTGTGTATATATATATAGTATATATATTGACATAGATATGACATAATATAGTGTTTTAATGCAGGATACATTCTGGGTAAATTGTAATAAATCACTAGTCACTAACCTGAATTAAGGACCATCCAGTGAGGTTGCAGTAGTCTCGTTATTTTTTTTACTCAGCTAGATTCTCTATCTCTAATAATGTAATATCTATACATATACCTCTGGGCGCATATGATATAGTATATATATAAATAATAGTAATAGTAATGTGTATAGATGCACATATAGATGCACACACACACATACAGTACATATGCATAAGCGTGAAATCTGTATGCAACTCAGCTTATGTGTAGATAATCTATGAATATATGTATAATTATGTAATATTGTGTATATACCCTCTGGTTATTTAACAGTTTGCCATGGACAATCATCATGCTATTAATAGGTAAACCATCTATTTCTATGGGCCATCTATACCATGGCCAACTGTTTCTTCAACGTTGCCATTTTGAGCGTCATCCCTCCGGGGATCATCTTGACCCCCGCAGAACGCTACGGCTACGGCGCGTCGCTGCGAACGGGGCGGAGCCGAGGTGTGCATTGACAACCCACGGCGATCACAGTGGTTCAGACAGCTGAAAGAATATGATACCAATGGAGCCACTTAAAATTGCTGCTGGGTCATTTTGTGGTAACCTTTCAATGTTGGGGTAAATCTAAATCAAGACTAAGTAGAGCCAACAGAATGCTAAAACGATCTGTGAATATCGCCGCGTCATGACTCCTTTGCCACACCACGCTTGGTCAAAGACGGACGCAGAGTGAATTTAAAGAAGTCTGGCGGCTTCTGCTTACCTGGATCGAAACTGGCAAACGGCGATAGCTTTGGGATGTGACCTGAAAATCATGCAAAACCCATTGCCACATGTAGTAACCTCAAGAAAGATGGAAAAGTATATAGAATCCTACAATCACAGTGATAAATGATGCCTTTCTATTCTTTTGGGGGCTACTGTAAAAGATGATAGTATGCCAATTAATGTCACTTTGACTCTATCACCTGACTGGGACGTGATCATAGGTTGGGGCATGGGGCTCATTGAGTTTTTCCCTGACACAGCGGGACCTCCAAAAGCATTGAATGGGTTTTTGCCAACCCCATTTTATGGGCAATGCACATTCAATACAACATTTCTATGTACTGTATACATACATAATGATATATATATATATATATTGGACTTGAGACCTATGCTCAAGAGCATCAAATTAAAACAGCTTTTGAGCTGGATATCCCTTTGGGTGCCAACAACTTGACTGGTGGACCGTTCTCGCCCCAAACTGCCGATCAAACCCTTGTGAAAGCAGTTCCTCCATGGACCCTTGTGAGATCCCTTTGCTATACATTCACAAAAAATGGGAACCAAAGAGGACCATCAAACACTATGATACCAGTAAAAGAAAAGCACATGTTTGGCAAGTATTAACTCGTGGTGTTTTTCGTTCCCATGCCATTTTTGCCCTGTCTCACAAGCACAACGAGTGGCCCAAATAGCAGTTGTAGTATGGCGACCTCAGGTCTGGCGGTCTCCCAGGCTGATTCTGAGGCATATCTGCCACCTCACTGACTTGAGCCATATAAACAATATACACATGTCTTTTGAATCTGTTCATTGTTGAGATGTTTGAGTGTATATATACATCTATATATATATATATACGTTTTACAATTCACTAGCATATGCACAATTATATATATATACATATGAATTACACCAATAAATATTTGGGTGAATATATTGTATATGTATATATAATAATACTTGCTAATCATAATCATAGTAAATATATATATATATAACAATATTATACTACATATGTATATATATATATATATGTATACATATTGTACTATAAATCTATAATAAAACACAGATTTCTCGGCACGCAGTCTGTTTTCTTGCTGCCAAGGCACAGGTGCAGTGGCACTGGAGCCTCGCGCTTCAAAGCGGCACGGCCATTGGTGACCTGGCCGTGTGACGCGGAGATTCCCGGAGATTCCCGCAGGAATATGGGAATCATAGGGAAAAAACATGGAAAAAATACATGGAAAATATGGGAAAATATATGGGAATATGGAGATTTCCATAGCATTTATATTCATTTATCATGGAGAATATGGGAAAACCATCAGATTCTCCATGGGAATATTTATGATATGGAAAAATCATGGGGAATATGATGGGGATATCTAATGGATTTTCCCATTAAAAAACCCTACATCATTATACGTAAGGGAATATCATGGGAAATATATGAGAATCGTGATAAATATATTGGATATATAGATGGGGAATGATGGTGATATACCATCTGGTAATCAAATCACGGCCAGCTGGGAAACACCCATCGAACTGGAGTTTTTTTTTGGGACCTCTAGACAATTCTAGAAATGGTTGATTTTTCCAGCAAACCATGTTTGATTACCAAAGGACAAACATGTTGTTGTTTGATAATGCCAACGAACCCATAGTTATTTCAACAAATTTAACTTACCACCGGATCGGATCCAATTGGCATATTTTGCCAGCAAAAATTTGATAGATCAGCAAAGAAAAGTATCTGAGCATTAAACATATGGGGATTTCAACATAAAAAATGGGAGGATTGAAGCATCAAACAAAAGCTGATTTCGGATCAGAATCACCAGAGATTTCGGATCGAGTTGTTCCAGCTATCCTCGACAACCCTGGTTCAAATGGTGAATTGATGATTTTTTTGATTATCATTCAGTCAGGTGAACACTGAAAAGATGTGTCATGGAAAGCCAGTACCAAAAAAAATCCACTTATTCATCGCCAGTCTCCTCTTCTGGATATCCATTCCATGATGCTTTTTATGGCACCTTTTCATTGCAATGTTCAATCACCAGATGGTAAGCAACTCCCAAAAGTCCGGCATCTTCGTTTTTCAAATCGTCTATCCCCTCCAACCATGCAGTTTTTAGAAGCTTTATAACTATACACCATTTGTAGCAAACAATCTATAGCTATGGAAAATCACAATGTTTTTAATGGGAGCACCCTGGCTATGTCAATAGTACCATAGGGTGCTTCCCTGGATTTCATCACCATTTACAGTGATTAAATATGACTAATCCAATTGAATCCCATGAAATCCAATGGAACAACCATTCAATAACCATAAATAAATTTTCATTAAATAATCATAAATAATCATTGAACTATATCATATTACATCAAATTAAACCATTTTTCACTAACCAACGTTTACCCAGCCGACCCTGAGCTTCAAACTGCATCTGCAAAGGAGGCCCAGCCGATCAAAGGACCCAACTGTTGCTTGGCCACATAGACCTGGTAGAGATAGGCCGTGGGGAATCATATGATGTGGGAATATGATCTGGGAAGGCTTGGGAATATATATATATACAGTATGTATAATATGTATGTATATATATATTGTATATATATATACACTGTATATGTATGTGTATATATATATTATACTGTATATATATATATATCATACTGTATATATATATACACTGTAGATATACTACATATATTTACTGTATGTATATACTGTATATATATATATACTATATATATACAGCATATATATACATACACAGTATATATATATATACACAGTATATATATATACAGTATATATATACTGTGTATATATATACTGTGTATATATATACTGTATATATATGTATACTGTATATATATATACTGTGTATGTATATATAGTGTGTATATATATATTATATATATATATACTGTGTATGTATATATAGTGTGTATATATATATACTGTAGATATATATATATATACTGTGTATGTATATATAGTGTGTATATATATATATATATACTATATGTATATATATATATACTGTGTATGTATATATAGTGTGTATATATATATACGTAGACATATATATATATACTGTGTATGTATATATAGTGTGTAAATATATACTGTAGATATATATATATACATATATATACTGTGTATGTATATATAGTGTGTATATATATATATATATACTGTAGATATACAGTATGTATATATATATATATGGTCATAACCCTGAAGAAAAAACACATGTTTGACTAGACATCGTGCAACATCCGTATTTTTTTCAGGGAATTCTGGCGGAAACCATGGATTTGGCCATGGATTGTGGCAGTTCTTCAAGCTAGGGTGAACATTACCCATCTCGGCTGAATCTAGGGTAATCTCTTGAAATCTAACCTCAAATACCAAAGGTATACACATGTTTTAACACCTCGACTGTAAAATGATCTTCCCAAGTCCTCCAAACCCATTTCCAGACAGTACAGTATACCTCCAGTTTTTTTAGTGTGTGTGTTTTGATCATCTTTATGCGCCCTTTGTGAGGCAAAACGTCAGGGGTTCCATGTCCAATCGCAGGGTTGCCTTTCATGTGTTTTTTTTTTCGTTTTTCGCAGCTGAGCAAATACCTCAGTAAATACCATTGCCAATGGTTTACCCTCTGGTAAACTAACATAACTATTGAAAATCACCATTTTTAATGGGAAAATCCACTATAAATTGCCATTTTCAATAGCTATTTTGGCATAACCAGAGGGTATACAGTGTAGTGATCCATGGTTTATACTACAGTGACTACCAGTGTATTCCCATGTGCCCAAAATAGAGAGCACCTGAACATCCCCACCAGCTGCTGCAGCGTGGCGCAAGAGCTGCCCTGGTCGGAATTGTGTGGGATCAATGGTTGTGACCCATAGCCTAAACAGGTTGCTATGGAAGAACACCGTTTTTAAAAAGGTCAATCAACTCCAAAAATGGTTATATGATGTTATATGATGTTATATGTTTTCTATGTTAAATTACCGGTACTCATCTCACTTTTTCTTGGTTGCAATGGTGAGAAAGGTTGACTTTGGAAAAGAATTTCGTGAACCGTTCTGATTCTGAGCACAAACCAACAGAATTTATTGGGTGAACACTTCATGGTTGAGCTATCACCTGAAATACCGGTGATAGCCATTAAGGATAAAATACACCACCATCAGTTAAGAATGGCTCAAACCACAACCCAGGTCCTGCATCCGCTGGAGGGTGGTAGCCTCGTCATAGCCCATTTTTTTCACCAGGGAATTGGGCAAATGATCATCCATGACCTTCCTAAGCACAGAGAAACCAACTTGTAATTAATAAGGATGACCATTTCATGATTCTCATGGAGGGGGTCAGTAATTATTGAATATTATTGATCACTTTTTCCGTGTCCAAATTGGAGGCACCCATCCTTAAGCGAAAAATGTCCGGGGTAAGATCAATGAAGGCCAAAAATATGGCCGTGGAGATGGTACCCTGGTGAACTGACCCTGTGAAATCCATACAATGTTGAAGCCACAATCGCCATGATTCAGTCTAGGACGTCTAGGAAAATCACCAAATCACCAAATATAAAATAATCTACTGTAAAATAAGCTCAATCTATAACATACATGATTCATCATGATTCTAGACTTTGTTTGACCTGGGAATCCTTTTTTGAACTTCGGAAAACCAACAAAAAAACAACAGAGAGATCCCAGTGATCCCAGGTGTGTTGAATCCCACATTCTCCAGCCATGCTGTGGCGCATGTGCCAAGCAACAGCCCGCAGGCGCGCCATTGACGCCCAAGGGTGGAAAGACTAAGACCTCGATGCCCCACTGAGCTGCACCTCGCTGGAGCTGGGCAAGCTGGCTACATGGGATTCGTGGGGGAATTGGCCAACAGTGAGATACAGAATGGGATGATATACATATATATATATATACAATGTAATACAAAAAATATATATATATACGATATAATATATATATATATAGATATATAATGTATAATATAGAAATTAAATTATACACAATGTGTATACGGTATATAAGACACAATATGATATGTGGCTTGTGGCCATCCACCCCATTGTTGGGAAACTCGGAAAGATTGGTCAATCTGAATCCCATTGTGTGTGGATTGATGACCATATGCTCAAAAACTTGGCAAGTTATGTCAATTTACCCAACCTTCGACCATGGCACAACTTGCCTACGATATGCTATGATTGATTGGGGAAAGGGATTAAATGATTAGAGTATTTTTAAAAAAATAGCATACATAGATTCCATAGATCTCCTTTAAATAGGTGTTGGTTCCATTGCCAGTACTGATCCAATGGCACAAACATCTTGGGAGACTCTCCAAGCAGCTGGAAAAGATGTCATCGATGGTCTTTGATACCTGGCGGTCAAGGGATGTCAAGGCGATGTCCCTATTTCTTGGGGGGTTATGTACCATAAAACCAATATAAAACCATCATAAACCATCATCAATAGTCATAAACAGTCATAAATAGTCACAAATAGTCATAAACACATGGATTTCAGTACTAGAATACTCAAATGACTTGGATGATTTGGGAGGCGGAGCCACTGAAAACTATGTTAAATCCTCCCGTCATCGCAAGGTGAGGCAAGCCCACATTGGCTCAACAGCTATAGGGGGCCTGCAAAAAAAAAGGGAAAAAACAACATTTTTTTCCAGGAAGTTCTTGATGAATATTGATGATGATTTCCCCCTCCAATTTCTAGGTGTCCAACTGTTCTATCTTTTCTATCCATTCTTTTTAGGGCTATCAACACGATACATCCCCCAACCTGTCCCTGGCGATGGCTTATCCTGCTTTCGACTGATACCCAAACAAGGCGATCGGATAACATTAAGAGGCAGCAGAAAGGAATTGTGTGTGTGGTGCGGATATCACAGAAAAGTCCCCTCTCACAAGCAAGCCCCAAAGTGAGCTGGTTTTCATATATATATATGTATATCTTTTAAAATTTAATTATATATACATATTTTTATTAATATTTAATTATATATATATAAATATCTAATTACATATATCTATCTATTAATATATAATTATATATATATATATCTATTAAGTAATATATAATTATATATATATATTTATAGATATATATATATAATTATATATATAATTATATAAATATATCTATTAATATATAATTATATATATAAATTAATATATAATTAATTATATATATATATATTAATATATAATTATATATATTAATATATAATTATATATATATAATGATATATATATAATTATATATATATATATATTAATATATATCTATTAATATATATATATATATATATTAATAACATATATATACATATATATCTATTAATAATATATATTATATAATTATATATATATATTATTAATATATATATATATTATTCATATATATATATTATTAATATATATATATATTATTAATATATATATATATATTATTAATATATATATATATTATTAATATATATATATAATTATATATATATATATTAGTATATAATTATATATATATATTAATATATAATTATATATATACCTATTAATATATATATATATATATCGTCTATTCATATATATATATATACATACATGCGGATCCATCGGTACCCCAATGACTTGACTCGAGAAACCCGCCGAATCCATCGAGCGGCCTGCGCTTTCTCACGGATGCGAGCGTATTGCCTGCGAGGGCATTCAGACAGCAGCAGAAAGCAGCAGAATCTGCTTGGCGTTTCATGGTTTTTCGCTATCCGAAAATATGAAAGTCAATAGGTCCTGGTGTCATCCCAGGGATGAAACATATGAAACTCATAAATTGCAAACGGTGCCACCAGGAAAATTGGAACTTGATCTGAGAAACATATACCGTAGATTGCTTTCAATCAAGACCGTTCTTGTCAACACCCTTTATGTACCTTTGTGTTGCACACCCCAAATCACAATTCATCCCTAATGTGAACCTTATCCCCACAAATATGAGGGATTGTCTGGATATATCATATGATAAATTCTGATAAATCTATATCTTTTCATCCAAAATGCTTCAAAATTGATCAACATGGGGTGGGATGGTGGGTTTATGATAGGTAGTTTAACATCCTTCCACCAGGGCTTCCATCAACGAGCGTCTCATGTCCGTCTCCGAGCGGAGTTCGCTGCAACGCCGCAGTCAGAACCTGGATTTTCGGCGGCCGCGAGAAATCCCTCGGCCATGGCCATGGTGAAATCTCCGTTTTCGATGTGCTTTTTCTGGGGAAAAAAAACGTTGATGAGTAAATGATATAGTAAATGTGATAGTAAATGTGATAGTAAATGTGATAGTAAATGATATAGTAAATGTGATAGTAAATGTGATAGTAAATGTGATAGTAAATGATATAGTAAATGTGATAGTAAATGTGATAGTAAATGTGATAGTAAATGTGATAGTAAATGTGATAGTAAATGTGATAGTAAATGTGATAGTAAATGATATAGTAAATGTGATAGTAAATGTGATAGTAAACGTGATAGTAAATGGTATAGTAAATGTGATAGTAAATGTATATGTACAATGTGTGTAATATTCTTTCATTGCGAGCTTAGATTGCTGGAGGGTGCCAGCATGTGCCAGCATGTGCCAGCAATCTGCATCCAGGCGTTCACTGGTGGCTGACCTAGCCCTCTGAAAAATGATGGACGACTCGTCAGTTGGGATGATGACATTCCCAATATGATGGGAAAGTCATAATCCAGCCATGTTCCAAACCACCAACCAGTTCATGTTTCCAAGTACAGTAACATTTACTTTTCCATCAGTCTTTCTTTCTGGGACCCCTGTACCATAGGTGGTCAACACCCCAAAAAACCAGCACCAAAATCCCTGATAAATAACTGTCATTGCAGGTTCTTGCACCTGCTCATATGCCCCAATGCGTTCTTTACATACAGTTGCATTTGCTGGTAATCTCTCCATCTTCATTCTCAGCAAAAAACTTTTTGGATGGAGAGTAACTATATCCAATAACTATAAGGGCATATACACCGACAATTGACACATACCTCACTGTGTTCGTGGTATGTGTCAACATTCCCTAGGACCCAGGCCCTGTGACAGTTTGGGAAGCTTGACCCGTACCCAATGTCCATCGATTATGGCAAAGAGCGCTCTTTACCAAAGAACCATATAAACTATTGCTTGCATCTTTTTCCTGTAGTTAGGATGGTATCTCGCATTTGTTTGTGATGAGATCTGCATTTGTTGGTTAAGCATGGTTAAGCAGCAGCAAACCACCAATGTTTGGTAAGCATTAAACAATTTTTTGGTCGGTGAATATGTGTATATGTTTGAGCATATCTCACATCTCTATATTTTTTTTGTTCGCTCAATAGTTTTCTTGATGAACTTCCTAGATTTGTTGGTGAAATCCTATTCCTGCCAGCCAGTTTTCCCACTAAAAATTGATTCAATCCTGACTGTTTGCTGGGAAGATCTACATTTCCGCTGACATCCCCAATACTTTTGCTGGTTAAACCTCTAAATTTGGCGACATCCACGTCTTTGCCTTATAAAAACCCCATTTTTTGGAGCTTGAAATCCTCCAAGAACAGCCCCCTTTTGCGGGCTCCCGTTGTGGGCTCCCACCTCGATCTCAGCAGGTTCAGTCCATTGGGCTCCGTCCTTGAGATCTCCACGGAGGATGGTCACATGAGCCTGGCTGGATATGGACAGCTCCGACGCCGAGGTTAACCATGACTAAGACTTCCTTTCAATTAACATCGAGTAATATCAATGAGCTATCTTACATTATCTTACCATGATTGAATTCATTTCATCTCCAACCTCAGAAGATAACCAAGAATTACTAGTTTCATCTCCACCTTTCAACGGGCATTCCTAAACCGCCAATTCAGAATGGAGTAAAAAATGTGACCGTTTCCCAAAAAAACTGGGCAAAAAAACCTGGCACAAGCACCGGCACAAACCTTTCCCTCGTTCCATCCGCACCGTGTGGATGATACAGCCATCTTTCAGAACCTCTTTGGGATCCTGATGCATCTGCCGCGGCATCTCGCTCAAAGCGTGCAAATAGCTGGTCCTTGAACTGGGGTGAGCGGCACGGCACGGCACGCCTTTAATGGCACTGGGACGTGCCAAGATATGGATAACTGAGAAATCATCTAAAAAGAATTAAACAGTTTTTTGTAGAATTTATAGACATTGAACCAGCAACAACCAGAGATTTGGCCTTAACAAGGGATTATATAATCAAAATAATGCAACTCTGCAGAAAAAACACCGGAACATTTCGCAGCTTTGAACATTTGCAGGTATACAAGTTATCCAAACTATAGAGGACTTTCATTGCCAGCTTATAGACTTGTTATAGTTATGAGTGTTGGATTCACCTCAATTTCTAGGAACTTACCAAGTGCCTGCTGCAAATCCCGGAAAGTGCGCTTCCGAGCAGAAAAAATGTTCCCTTCACTTTGCTGATCAAAATTGGATTACCCTCCGGTAGTCTTTCACATGGCGTGCTGGAAAATCCACCATTTATAGATGACTCCACACAGAGAAGGGATTTCCCACTGCCATGTTTGATGACCATAGGACCATAGGGTAACTAATGGTTACCCTCTGGTAATTTAACATAGCTATGGAAAATCACTATTTTTATGGGAAAATCCACTATAAATGGCCATTTTCAATAGCTATGTTAAATTACCAGAGGGTAGATACTTTGACTTGGACTTTGCAAATCGGGCAATGATGGTCTGGTCCTATTGACCTGGAGTTTATGGTCCGTAACCATCTGAAACGTCCTGATAGGTGGTATATCGTCATCTTCAACAGGATCAATGAATGAACACACACATAAATATATATATATATAATACACATATTGGCTGTCACAAAGTATCACAGAATTATAAAGAAATGATGTGAAATGATCATGTTCCTTAAGATTCTCGATGACTTTGCCTCTTTCATCGTCTTCCATGGACTTGGGGACCACCCAATGCCAACCTTGCTGGACCCCGTCCTGAGGTACAGCTGGCAGTCGCGCAGTTCCCGCAAGGGCCTGCTGGGTCTCATTCTTGGTGAGTTTCACTGTCACTGTTTTTTTTTTTGGGTACAATGATATTTAGAAATATTTAGAATATGATATCATGATACTATATGATACTATCACAATGGAATCAGGTTTCTATATGATGCAGAATATCTCCTCTCTCCCCAGATCCCAAAATTGGGATACAGATACCCAAAGCCATGGCCGAGGCTCAATGCCCTTTCTTCGCCGTTGGGAACCAGGTGGACCAAGGCAGTGCGCTGACCCCGCAGGGCGCACATGCGGCAGATCTGCAGCATGTCCTGGGGGATTTTGATGGTTTTGCATATGGTCATCAAAGATGGGGGTGTTGGAATGGCTTCGGGCTACTAAGTCGAGTTCACCCGATTTTGATCGATTTTGTAAAGAGGTTTCAGTTTTAGTTCCAAAATCCTTGAATTTCCTCTCTGGACACAACTTTTCCTGAGGACAAGCCAGTGTTTAACCGCCAAAAGAACAAAGAAAGAAACATACTGAGAGAACCCTGCATTTGGATGCGTTTGATTGAGCGGTTGATGGATCTGTTCAACCATTTGAGGGATGTTGATTTGCTTTGATTTTGTTTGTTTAAGAGACTTACAAGGCCAAGGCAAACTAACCAGTCATGTAAGATGCGTCATGAACCAGCCACAAAGTTGGTGGCATTCGCACGCGTGTTGGTTCTTATATCCCCCCAATACTTTGCTGGCTTTTGGTTTGCAATAAATAAACATTCCCGTGACATTCATAAGTATGGCTGCAGAATCTTCTAGTGCCATTCTTGTTGGTTACATCCTATTTGAATCTAGATTACAGTTTACAGGCTTTCAGATAGGGCAGAAATGATGATTCCGTACTGTTTTGATGGTGATTTATACATGTTTCCATTACAAAACCCTACAGAAAACAAAAACAGAACCTCAAAACTATGGCATGGAAGACCATTTTCCACGGGAAATGGCCATTGTTGGATTCCATCTTTGTTTTCAGAGGTGTATCTTGGAGTTTCCTACTACTAAAACCCAGCTTTCTGTGGGTATTTATGGAATTTTAAAAAATGAACTTTCAACATATACCCACATTTCTATTGGTCAAAATTCAAATTGGGTACCAAAAATAAGGAGGGTACAGAATGCCAAAAATCATCAAATGTTCTGGTCCACTGGGTTTTACATGTTGACCAATTCCTAATTGGTTGGCTGTTGGCATCTCCCTCCCTCTCTCTCTCTACATATATGTATAATACAATGCATGTATATATATATATAACTATATACATACATAAATATATATATATGTATATATATATATCGCATATTACTGGTGAAATGCCAACCCATGATTGTTATCCCGTCAATTTTGGTGATATCCCACAAGAAATCCTATGAATTCTCCTTGAAACAACGCAAATTCCTGTGAAATCCTTATCAGATCCCATCAAGTCCCCATACAAGGTCGTGCGGGCACCACCTCAGTTGGTTTATATCTCCAAGAAATAGGGCTCATGGTAGATATATCAATATCTATAGTTTTACTATAGTAAAACTAAACAACCGTACAACTGGGGGGCATCAACTTGTATGAAGTCACCACTGAAACACCACAAAATCCATCAAATCCCATCAAATCCCATCAAATCAACATGAAACCCCACAAAAACACCTTAAGAATCACCATCAAAATCCATTAAGCCATCATTAAGTCATGAAAAATCCCACTCGCCCACCAAAAAATCCTCCTCCTTACAGCCCGGAGACCCCTCCCGACCTGGTCATGCACCACCTCCAGCCTCGCTGGCGCGGCCTTCGCCGCTCGCCGCGGCGCGAAGGCCGAGGACAGCGGACAGCGCACGGGCTGCGAGGACCGCGTGCGAGCGGTGAAACCTGGGATGTTGGAAACACTGTGACCCTGACATGCGAAAATCAAATATCAAGTGGTATGCATATACATATGATTATATATGAATATATATATATATATGATTATATATATGATTATATATGATTATATATGATTATATATGATTATATATGATTATATATGATTATATATGATTATATATGATTATATATGCTTATATATGATTATATATGATTATATATGATTATATATGATTATATATGATTATATATGATTATATATGATTATATATGATTATATATGATTATATATGATTATATATGTACATCTATACATCATTTCTCTATGTATATATATATAACTATATATCATATATACGTAGATTGGGCATCTCAAATTATATATCTCAATATACAATCGAATAATACCATAAATTTATAAATATGTATATATATCCGTACTTCATTCAGATCCCACGATTTCTGATATACAGTTTATGGCAAGTTGGTCTTTGACATTCCCTTCAAACAGTTGAAATTCTTGCATATCAGTTATATCATATCTATATATACTTGAAAATGATGTGTATATATATATACATAGGATCCATGTATGCTATATATGGTAACATTTACCATCAATATACCCCAAATGTTAGCATATATACCATACATGGATCCTATGGGATATATAATTACAATTCATATCCGCCTTAAATTGTCACTTTCATATACAAATTCACAGGGGAATATGATGAACCAGTGGATTTCAAGGCGGCAAATCCCCATCTTTTTGCCGTGGGCACTTGGCGTCCAATAGGTCCCCTCTTCGCAGGCCTTGCGAAGGACATCTCCATGGATTCCATGATACCTGAAGCCCTAAAGCTACATCACTAAATAGTGGTTATAATATCCATAGTATATATCTATTGGTGATGAATAAAAGGGTTTTTGTGGTTAATATTATCACTATTTTGTGAATATCACTATTATAACCACTATTTAGTGATGAATAACCACTATTATAACCACTATTAATAACCAATTATTATATTGGTGATAATATTAAACCAATTATTAACCATAGTATATAGTATCTGGTTGGTGGTGCAATAACCATCTTGAAAAATATGGAAGTCAATGGGAAGGATTATCCCATATATTATGGAAAATAAGAAAACACCAACCAGGTATATATCTATTGGTGATGAATAAAAGGATTAATGGTTAAAATAAAATCACTATTATAATATCACTATTATCACTAAATATTGGTAGTTAAATGTAGTGATAGATATTAACTAACCAGTTTTAGATATATCCACCAATAACTAAATGTAGTTAAATGTTATATAATATCTACTGGTGATGAATAATAGGATTCTGGATCCATTCATAGTTGCCGTAATGATCAACAATGGTGGATCAACTATCAAAACTTGCACATAATGGCTTACTGTTCCAAATAATTGGAGAATCTTGGAGTTCAATCATCCCCTTCAAACAAAAATATATAGATTTCAACCAGTTCTACAGAAATCAACCCTTTTCCAACCATCATCAACCACCTTTGCACCACCTTTTCACCACCTTTTCACCACCTGGATCCACAACGGATCCGACCCCAGGGCCTGTAAATTGCCAACGGCCACCGCGTTCAGCAGCTGCTCCAGGCGCATCTGCCGTCGCTGGATCGCCTCTGGGTCCAACCTGCCGACGAGCTCAGTATGTATAATGATGAGTTTTACTATTATTATTTGATATTTGTGATTGCTATTATTATTGTGTGTGATATTCTCTATACTATTATGGTCATTATCATTGTTGTTATTGCTATTATTATTATTGTTGTTACTATTATTGTTATTGTTATTGTTATATATTATATATACCACAAGAATGGGAAATCGACATAGTTCGGTGTGTAGCTATACATATATGTATATATATGTATATATATATATTGCAGAATCACCTGCACTGGTAGCCAATCTAAGAAAAACTTCTCCAACACCAAAGCCCACCGGAGCTCAAACGCTTTTCCTATGGCTTCGCACGAGTGAAAGGTGCAGGCGACTCCCGAGTCGCGTCCTAAGCCCTCGACGGCCACCCAGAGCCGAAATCCTCATGAGGTAGTGACTCCCAAGGTTGAATCCATAGTTGACACCCATTGTCAACCCTTGCATTACAGTCTCGCACAAGTTCAGAGAGATGTGGTCTGGAAATTACACTCCTAAAAAATCTTTTCTTTCTTTTTACAGAGATGGAGGATCTGCTGAATTCAGTAAACTTTCCTGGCAAAAATAAATCATCAAGCCACATGAAGTTCTTTCATGCACTACACAAGGGATTGGCCGTGGCGTGTGACAACTTACACAGGATTGGAATTAAGCTTGGTCTATCGCTGAAATTTCGCATAGCCCTGAGCACTTCGGAGCAGGACCGGCTACTGCAGGATGGCCAATGCAAATGCATGCAAGGCGGATTTCTCGGCACTGGTTTGTTCATACCACTGCTGTCTGACCTTTTTGTCTGCTCGTTGTTTGAGAACTTCTTCAACATCGTGTAACACACATTTGCCATGACGAAGGAATGCTCGCAAAACTGTATTGTCCATGTCCTTGGTCAGTGAATCAGCCATTTGCGCAGCGGAGTGAACCCACTTAACAATGACTCCTTCTTGCAAACGTTCTTTAATCACCAGGGCTTCAAGTGTGGTTCGATGTTCTGTACATTGTGGTATTGATGTTTTCTGCAACAAATCAAACAAACTCTTGCAATCCACAACTGCAAAAGCTGGTGGTAGAACCTTTAGCGTCTTTTCAGGTGTTTTCCATGAGGCTGAAGGATTCAGTATCCATGACCAGTGAAGTCTCGTCCAACTCAACAAGTCCAAAGCGCCAGATAGTGCAAAGGTCTCTGAAGCTAGTGTACTTGATACCACACGATTAATCTTCTTCGAAAACCATAAGAGAGGACTTACAGGAGCTGATCTGGTTTCATTGATTTCTTCAGTCGTGGCAAGGATAAGACAACCTTTCTGAGAGTGTGCCTTTTCACGGGTGGCAAACGCTGCATCTGAAAATGATAGAAACCGGAGTTTGGTGGGATCTAGTGCTTGGATCTTGATAGAGATGTCTGAGAATCGCTTGGCATCCATTAAAAGTCGGCTTCCATGGAGTAAATCGGATACAGTGGCACACGTGACTCTGGCTTGGAGAAGGCTCAATCTGCATGACAGATCTGGACGGGTATTTGAGGCGGCATATTGCAGGCTACCTATTAAACCCCTGAGATCTTGAAGTTCTTGGTGAGTAATTTTGGCATCAGGCTGCAATCTACGTTCTCGAGATACATTGATGGGAGGTATATCGTTGATATAGGTCTTTTGGTTTAAGGATATATCCCCATTGTGATCTTGAGTTAGATTGATTCCAGTGAAAGTAAAGGCTCCTTGTCGCTGGCTACCAAAAGGGAATCTCTTTCCCAACATCTTGATAGTTTGATTGAAGACTGCATCACCCCCACCCAGGCCATCGTCAACATGTACACCCAAGACACCATGAATTTTTGGTTCGTGCTCATTGAGGACATTCTTTTTCGGTAAGACAAACAAACATGGGTCCATTGGAGAAATGACGAATCCTAGTCCAAGCAGTGCATTCTTCAGTTCACAGTACCACAAGAGAGGGGCATTCACCAAGCCATAGGCTCCCTTAAGTAACTCACAAACTTCATCATCCCCAAGTTTCATACGCAAACGAAGTTCAGGGGGTGGTTCTACTCCAAGGATCCTTGAATCCTGTCTGCTGCCACGGAGAAACGCCGTCCGGATGTCAAACGATCGTGCATTCCACCGATGGCTGGCAATGCACTGAAGAGCTAACATGCGGGAGTCTTTTCCCAACGTAGGTGAATCTCTGGGTAATGAGTCTATCATTGGATCTTCGAATCCCAAAATGACAAGTCTTGCTTTGGCTTTCCGGGATGTTCCGGTTTCTTTTTGTTCAATATCATCCAGGGATTTCCATGTCAAAACCCAACGAGATCTCAGCAACTGACCCTCAGGAACCTGATGGCGTAAAATCTTTTGAACAGTATCAGTTGATAGCCATGAGTCAATTTCTTTGTCTTTCGCCTTTTTAAACATCTCAATTTCTTCCTGAGTCAGGTCTTTCAATTTGACCTCGACCTTTTGTCTCTTGGCAGCGGACGCAATGAAACATTCCTGGCTTTCATAGGTTCTTCCAAGACACTTTTGCATCTCATCCAAGGTGAGGAGAATTTCATATTGGTAAGCTTGGGGTGGACTATCGTTAAGGTTATTTATGATTTGAGCATTTTCGGGTTTATCATGTGGTGGATTATTCTTACTGAGTTGGAATGTGGTGCATCCAGTCCATGGTTCAGGTGCAATGCTATGTGCAGTCACATTGTTCTTCCAATGCTCATGCCGTTCAAAAGTCCCGCCTGACAAGTATTGGCCGCTCGTTCGTCGCATTGGGGCCAGGTTATCCAGTGGCACAGGACACTCAAACACTTCTGTTGGAAAAAACATGTGAATCCTCGGTTGAAAATGATGTCGCACAATGCAATCAGGATGGACTACCCAATGGTCTTGGCGATGCGTAGTGGTGATCAATTCATCATCAGCGGTGTCATTTGGAATCGGAGTATTTACCGGCCCATGAAAATCCACTGGTTCCGATGAAACTGGATTACTGGCAGGCATGTCAAAGCTTCCGGGTTCTGCATCTGGTTGACCAACACTCGGTGTGATTGGACTGTTCTGATTGTCATTTTGGTCATTGGTTTCTTGGTCAGGTTGAACAATGATGGTATCTGGTGTCTCATTTGAGTTGGGGTTACTGCGGGAACTTGGAATTTCGGGGATTGGAGGTGTATTTTGGCCTACCAACTCTCGGTACTGGAAAACCCCATTACCACAGCGGTCTGGCAGCTGGAGCAGTTGTTGATCATCTTGAGAAAGCGATTGCATCTCATCTTCAGAAAGCAATCTAACGTGCTCCGGGGCACATCGATACAGGCGGGTCATGTGGCTCAACCAGATAAGATTTTGGCTTTCAATCATCAAAACTCTTGCAGGGCCCCTCCAAGAACCTGGTTCTACCCCTTTACCGCCTCTCCAGTACATGACAAGATCCCCTATCTTGAATTTGACACGGTCTGGTCGAGACCGGGCATGGAGCGCTTTTCGGAGGGAAGCGCTATGGTCAGCTTTCACAAATGCTAACCTGGCAGCTTCTCTTCTAGCCATCATGGTCTGGAAGCGTTCTCCTTCAGTGACAGGCTCATCGAGTCCGGCATAACTGGCACTGTCGGTCGGGGCAGAAATGTTATTTCCAGGTAAAGGCCTCATTTTTCCTAAAACCCAAAGTTCAGGAGTGAACCCTTCATGGCGGGACATTGCATTCTTGGAGTTACAGAGATGGATCAAGCATTGTTCAAAATCTTCATGATTCCGGATGGGGTGTTCAGCATGATACAAATCTATCATATGCTTCAAGATTGAACCATGTCGCTCCGCACGACCAAGTTGCCAGTGAGCCTCAGTGGGAATTACATAGCTGACAATGGACTGTTCCTGCAGATATCTTGCAAACTCTTCGCTGTTCGATTCGGTGGCACTATCGAACATCATCCTCTTGGGACGGCCAGCCCATCTGATCCATGCGGTGTTCAGGGAATGGATAAGGGATTCTGTTGTTCGCTGTTGATATGGGATGGCAGTGTGAAAATTGGTGGCTGAGTCAATGAAGTGGAAAAAGGAATATGACTTTCCATTGGGATCAGTCCATTCAGCACCATCAAAAGAAACCAGGTCATTGAAATCCCGTGGTTCATGCAAATGGCTCGACCGATACGCTTTAGGCTGCTTACTTTCAAAGCATGCAGGACACACAAAATCGGCACAACCACGGATGTCACTTTCTTGCCATCCGTACCTTTTTAAGGCCAACTGCAACACCCTGGTATCGGGGTGACCTAGGTTTTGGTGGATCTTCTTCACTTGGTTTTGGATTTCTGGGGCTAGTGCTCTGAATTTTGGGCCATGACTGTGACATGATTCAGGGAGTTTACATGTTTCAGGATTATCGGGATTGGGCTCAATCTTCGGAGTTGTACTGGGGACTTCAACATCCGGAATTGTGGCAGGAGACTGTGAATCACTTCCTACTTGGAAACGGGTTCTCTTCAGGATCTGTTGATCCGCAACACCCTCTCCAGCGTGTTCCAGCTCTGGGTTGGTACGCTTATTTGAGGCAAACACCGTGAGTAAAATTTTGGAAGGAACCCCGCCTCGAATCTGCTGACGGTGAGACAGGTTCTCCCATTGTTCCCAGGTGTCATCGAAAAACATCGATGTGTCAGTTCGACGCTTGCCAATTACCCTTCTGTATGGAGCCAGGCCTTCGGGTCCAATGGGACAGACACGCATGCGATTGATGCCTCGACAAATGTCCAACACCATAACCTGTTTGTCTGGAAAAATCTCTTGAACAAGTTGAAACAGGGGACCATCTTGGATGATGACTTTACCAACCCTTGGTGTACACTGCTCAGCCATGTGAAGTGCCTGATTCATCTGGTTTCTGCGATGCTCATCGGGGCGACTGGCAGGCATCGGTGCAGGAGTCTCTGTTGGACTCTGAGAACTTGGCACAAATAACTGATCGGGCTGGAACTTGCCTGATAGTCTCCTGCGCTTCGGCTCTGGGAGATTCTCTGGCTTTGGTCCGACTGTTAGTGCAACATCCGGCAAACTGGAGAACAGGTCTGCATCAGAGGCAGCAACTTCCTTCACTTGGAGACTACATCGAATGGATCGAGCAACTCTTTTCCCAAACATGGCAGTGTAGAGTTCCGAGTATTTGGACACAGACATTCTCTCATTCAATTTAGTTTTACATGAACCAGCAACATGGCCAGAGTCCTCCATAAGATCCGTGACGTCGTCAGAACCTGTGTTCTCTTCTTCAAAAAACCATCATTCTCCGGATGTTTGAGACTGCCGGCTGTACACATATCACAAATGGCTTTGAGAGTGTGGGTGACAATGGTCTTCATTTCCCTCTGGTAAACAAGTTCTGATCCAAGAGGCTGCTCCAAGTGGAAATGAAAGTTCTCTCCACGCCAATACTGCAGACGGAACAAGGCATCGCATAAACACAGGTGAGTGTTCTCTGCACGACGATCCGACAGAATCTGTTGTTCCAAACGTTCAGACTTAGACATGTTCAGCCTACTCCATGCACACCAGGGACCACACTTTGGAGACATCCAAATATGTTTCGGTCGCAGAATCCACAACATGTCATAAAGTTTGGATCGTCCAGCAACGGATGCGAGATCTCCTTGTTTGAGACCAAATCGGACGGCTGACATCCCAAGGCTCTGGCATTGATGTGTAAGCTGACTCTGGTCAGAGCAATAAACTTCAAGAACATCGGCCTTTGAAGACTGGAAGTGGTGTTTCATCTGGTCTAAGTTTCAGTGAGGATACTTGTTTTGAAAGTACATCCACATTTCTTCATCCACCCAGTTGTATATCTCATGAGCAAGGTTTATTTCATCGTTGAAAAACACAGGATCATGAGTTTCTTCCTGTCGGCAATTCATGTTGTAAACTCCCACAGAATCACACATCAATGTTCTCAATCCGTCTGCTTGGGAATTCAGATCTACTGGCCCTGTTTCTGGCCCATGGCGGCTTGGGTCAGAAGTTGGAGCTGCTGCGTGATCTGGGTCAGGGCCTCCTCCATGTTGCAGAGTCGGCGACGATTGTCCTCGATCTCTTCCTGAATTGGCAGTGGCATCATCTGCGCTCCTTGCATCACATCCCATGGATCCTCTTGGTCGGACCAGGATGCCTGGCTCCCATGTTCGGAGGGATTCTTCACGGCCGGCTTGGCCTTGGCTTTGGACTTGAGGTGGTTTGATGTCGGGGCTCCTCTCGGTGTCTCGAGTCCCTTCTCCAGTTCTTTGCGTTCCACATAGAGGCTCAGAAAGAACAGGAACGCTTGGTGGGACTCTTTCTGGCTGTTCTGGTATTTCTTCGCAAACCACTGAACATACTTTGGGTCTCCCTCGATCACTTCCAGAAAGGTCTGATTGACCTTGGTTTCCCCAAACGACACCCTCATTTGTGACAGGTCTTCGAAGGACATCGACATGAACTCGGCCTTCTTCTGCTGCACCTGCAAGGCTTGAAAGCGATCGGCCAAGCTCGACATGGCCATGAAACAGCGGCGAACTCACAATGCACGGACTGGGAGGCACGGATGCTTGGTTCTCCTTTGACACCAAAGGCTGGTGATCGGAGGTGTTCTCAGCTTCTGGCTTCGGATGATGAGAGGCTTTATGGTTTTCATCATGTTCAGTGTTTACAGTTGAAAAACCCTGGGCACTCATGATCGGCATGTGAGACATGTTTTGGACCTCGGACACCTGACCACCTGCCTGTGCACTACGGCGAATCAATTCACAAAAGTCCAGCAAGTACAGCTTCTTTTCTGACAACTTCAAAGGCATGTGAATCTGAATCTTGGAGAAAAACACAGCATCTTGATCGGTGTCGATCCTGGCCCCCAACGTCCGGAAGACATTATTGGATATGAGAAATGGTGTTTGGCTCTTAACAACACAGATCTTGACTCTCCATTTGGCCAAGGGGACCAGGAGAGCATATTGGCAAACTACCGTGCTGCTATTTCCAAATCGGAAGACTGTGTCACAGGGGACCCTCTGCGTTTGATCGGCAACATCTTTTGGCAAGCTTTGCATGAGATCAGACACCTGTTGTTGTCCAATGACGGTTTGACTGGCACCTAAGTCTACAATTCCAAAGGGTCCGTGACTTACAAAGTGCACATCCATGGTGAGATCCGGTTGGATCATGGCTGTTGTCGGCACCTTCAAATCAGGCCGAGGAGGGCTTAGGCGACTCTTCAGGGAATTCACAAGCCTGGCCAATGCGGTCGGGGAAGGAACACTGGACTCCGACACTTGGACCATATGAACAAAACTGTGCAAACCCTTGGATACCTGAGCATGCATGTGGGGGGCCTCAGTCACAAGGATCATGTCATCCTCAACTCCATGGGCATCTCCAGTGACGATGGCGCCAGTGAAAGCACCGGCATTCGAGGCAGCTGCAGCATTCGGATTGGGAGTGCTCGCTCGGTTGAGCGGGCACTCAGCTTTCCAGTGCCCTTTGGCACCACAACGCCTGCATTCGGACTCTAAGATCCTCTGCGCCAATGGCTTCCGGAAACGGAATTGTCCTTTGCCTTTACCTTTTGCCTTGCCTTTATTCTGGGACATGGACCCCTTACTGTTACCCCAAAAACCCCTGTTGCGACTGCGGTCATTGATCCTCTTTCGGGCATCGAGGTACGTGTTGTAGCAGGCTGCAAGGTCGGCATCGGACTGCAATGCATCCACTAAGCTTTCTTCGAATTGCATGCAAACGATGGCATCGGGATCATTATCATCATATGCAATCTCCGATTCATCCCAGGTTTCACCCATGAAAACATGGTCATCTTCTGGAAAGCCTGATCCCGAGTCTTCATCAAACACGGCATTGACGTCATACGTCTTGACGCGGTTGGGAAATTTGCTTCCCGCTTGCACTTCATGAAAAAACTTGGAACCGAGCAATTTCAGTGCTGAGACAATGGCTTGATATTCCAGGTTGCCATGGGAGTCCACTATGAGCTTCTTCTTATCTTCAGATCCCAAACCAGAATTCCGCAAAAGAATATAGGCCCTGATGTCTGCAAAAGAAACCCCCATTTGAAGCAACTCTTCGAATTGGAAATCGTGACGTGCCATGTAGCTGTCATGCGATTCATCGGCCCTTTGCACTGTTGTGTAAATGGCTCGTTCAAAACGTTCGAATTTCTCTTCTAAATTGCTTTTGCCCCAGATTCCTCCTAACGTGGTCACTAACAGCTTCACGCCGTCGGTGGTATTCACCTTGAGTTTGGCTGGGTCCAGCCTCATCACACGCTTGAAGGAACTGCCTTCACACATCATGGCCGCTCTCGGAGCTAGATGCGACAAGTGCTCGGGCGGCCACAGACTTGCCAGAAATTCCAACTTCTTGGTATACTCATTGATGTCTGTGTCCCCAGGGCGGAAACTTGGTATCATGGTCCATGGCAAATGCGACAACGACGCATTCGGAGTTCCAGGCACTGTTGGTTGATCTCCATCCCCACCAGTGGTTGTCCCTGACATCCTGGATCAAGTAGCTTCCACTCACAGTTTGGACCAGAAAAAGGAACTGATAGCTGAGCGGCTACTGGTAGCTCCGCTACCAATGCAGAATCACCTGCACTGGTAGCCAATCTAAGAAAAACTTCTCCAACACCAAAGCCCACCGGAGCTCAAACGCTTTTCCTATGGCTTCGCACGAGTGAAAGGTGCAGGCGACTCCCAAGTCGCGTCCTAAGCCCTCGACGGCCACCCAGAGCCGAAATCCTCATGAGGTAGTGACTCCCAAGGTTGAATCCATAGTTGACACCCATTGTCAACCCTTGCATTACAGTCTCGCACAAGTTCAGAGAGATGTGGTCTGGAAATTACAATGTATATATATATATGTATATATATATATATATGTATCTTACACTTATATATGATTCTACGGGCACAACCGCCATTCTACGGGCACAACCGCCACGTTTAGTGGGACATGACATGAACATACATAAAGTCTATATTTCTTCCAAAATATCAACCCGCTGAATTCAAACCAGTGGTTTGTCTTGTTGAAAAAACAACAATATGCTTGCTCGCACTTACCATTTACCCTCTGGCACTCATGGCAATTTTACCAATCCGCCATAGTTCGATGATTTTCCCAGCGAAGCACCCAGCTACCTCCATGGAGTTAAAACGGGATTCTCCTGGCACCTCAGATGCGTGGAGTAAAGTCGCGGCGTTTTAGGCGCCGGTGCAGACTCCTGCAGTTCCTGGCGGAGATTCAACCATCAAACAGTTCACTTCATAAAATGGCTTTAAGATGACTATGTTCATGACACGTTGTATTGAAATGCTATCCATATAAAATCATATTGATATCATATTTATGTATGCAGTAAGTATACAATAAATATACATCACCCTCTGGTAAACTAACATAACTATGGCAAATCACCATTTTCAATGGGAAAATCCACTATTTCAATGGTCATTTTCAATAGCTATTTTGACATAACCAGAGGGTAAACCTCCATTTTCCTATGGTTTTCCTATGGTTTTTGTCGTTTTTAACATCCCATTGGTCGTTTAGCGACAACCGGCCCGGCGCCAGGGCGCCAGACCTGCCACTCTTCAGCTGTGGCAAAACAGTTCAGCTTGCGCCAGTCTCGAATCTCGTCCCGCCATTTGGAGACCTTGACGAACCGCAAAAGAAACTCTGGCTGCCAGGCAAATCAGCCAAGTCATCATTATACATGGATATCCATATATATATATAATACATATACCATATATTTTTTTTCCTTCGGCCTTTTGGGACTATGAAAGTCGCGGCGAGCTTCAAATTCCGGGAACTGTATCTTGCAACCAATTAACAAAGCAAATTGAGCACTCATCTTCTGCCTTTCGTACTGTGATGGTTATGATAATCAGGTCCGTAAAATTCCCCAAGATCCGAAACATGCATGGAACGACAACGGGCCAGAAAATCAACATCAATCACAGTTTCATGACAAGAAGGTTGTTGCAGAAGGTGGTGTGCAATGCTTTCCCCCAGGGCTCGATTCAAGGCCGGTGGGTACTCCTTAAGACTCGTGGTGGCCCATTGGCCTTCCGCAGTCTTACCAATCGCCGCTGTACGCGGAAGATCAGGGCAAAGACGATGCTTGTGCAAAAATGTCGGCAGGCTATCCATGTTCAGAGTTAGAAACCTAGTGGGTTTTGGCGACTTCGCGCCTAAAAGCCCCTGTGCAAAGTCTACGAACTCGAACCCCGGTAGCTGCCTCAAAATTTGGATGATCGGAAGACGCCAGATGGAGGGCTTGGTTTCGTCAGCCGGCTCCCCTGGATGTTCAAGCACTCCTATTCCCTCAGACCTCGCCAGGCAAATCAGAAGGTCAATGGAGAAGACCAGCAGCTCGTTGCCCACAGCTACCTGTCCCTGCTCACGGAGTGACAGGGATGGCAGTCCCCAAAGCCACTCCAAGGACCTGAGAGGTCGAGGTTGACGCTCTTCACCAGCGTTCTCGTTGACAAAACGAGCTTGACTCCAAGTTTCACAGGGTGGGCCGCACAAACCGCCCTGTACAAACCCCGATAACGCTCCTTGAAGCCAAAAATCTCGTGTCGCAGAGCGACAAGCGTCGCCCCACTCCTTGTCGATCACGACGTCCATAGAGACGACATGGAGCAAAACACCATCTGCGTTGCGTGCAAAGGCAGCTTCGAGATAGTGCTGTAGGTCGCCCGCTCTGCGACGACCCGAGAAGGCGTGTAAGAAGACTCGTTCGCGTCCTAGTTGACGGGGAATCTTAGGTCGTGCTTGTACAATCTGTGCCACCTGAATGCGTCTGTCCAACTCTTCTTGCAAAGGCACTGACGGCGAGGAAGCACAATGCAATTGAGCAAGGAAGGGCCAGGCAGCTTCATGTGAGAGTCTGTGTAGGGCGGCCATGCATGAATCCATGTGTGTGGTTGACACGTCCAAAAAGCCAGTCGCACATTGCTGATGTACCTCAAGCAAGGTCAAACGGCATCGAGTCCATGAAATAGGATATTTCTGGATGCAACTCCGTGCAAAGGCTTCGAAATCATCCGTGTCAATGTCCAGAATGCCCAGGACAATCTCCTCATAGAGCTCGCGGTGCTCGGTGTCAAAGTCACTTCCGGGGACATCTGGTAGTCGAGGTCCAGCGGCTGCCAACGGTGGTAACCGGTTATCCCAACGTGACCATCGTTCTGTGTCCTCCGTAGAGCCAAGTCCTGGTTGTGCCGGTTCATGATTACCTCTCCCAATCAAGGTGATGCGGCAGGCTGTAGAGCGGATCAAATGCATTTTGAGCTTGCCCATGGTGAAATATTCCGTCAAACAGGCTGCACATTGTGTACTTCCCATAAGATGTCGCACAGGATGGACTTCTCCGTGTGTGCGATGCATGTGGGCGCCTTCTCCGCCCAATGAACGGAATGCTTTTTGACATCTCATGCAGCCGTAGGCTTGGGGATGCATTCTGTCTTCAAAGCTCTCCTGCTTGTCTGGATGTATAAAACCTCCTTGACAAAGATGCTCCAGGAACCTCAGGTGCGCCGTTGCGACAAAGAATTCCCTTGTCTGCACTCCAATCGAGTGTTCGGCTGCTCTCCTGAGAAGTCTTTTCCAATACCCTCGATGGAACTGGATCACTTCAAACCATCGCGGCATATGGGCTGCGGGATCCCCAAGGTTGCAGCAATGGTGTAGTTGGTGCCAAAGCCATCTAAAGTCATCTTTGACAAGAGACAACCATTCATAGTCCTGATTGAGCAACCCCCAACATGCCGTGTCACCTACTTCGAAAAGCGAGCCCAGATACCGGAGTCGCCGCAATCTCAACATGGTTGTGGGTGATGGCATTCCCGTTCTGTAAAGAACTTCTTCATCAGAGATGGGACTGTGGCCAGGACAACACAGAAGTCTTTTCAGGAGTTTCATAATTCCTCCATGAAGACAGTCCTTCGTTTTCTGATCTGGAAACGTCCACGTCTCTGCGCCAAAGAGAAGGCGACTCAAAATCAAGCTGTGAAAGAGCTCCCTCTTCTTGTCCATCTGGAAGTGTCGGTTTTGATAAAGGAGCTTCCGATGGCGGTTGAACTCTTGATGTGCTTGACCCAATCTGGTCTTGATCTCCTTCCGAAGCTTGGTAGAGAAATGTACCTTTCCTCCCAGATGGGTATATTCAGTCACAAGTGGGACTCGATATGGGTGATGTTCTCCAAGGCTGAGGAAATGACCATCTGCCGTAGGTCCAAACATTTTGCGTTTCATTCGGGTGGTGCCAGGACCACGTGGTGAAAACAAAATCGCGGTCTTCCCTGGCTGAAGATTGGGTGTCATCGCATAACCTTTGAAAATGTCCAAGATCACTCCTGTTGCAAATCCTACGGCTGAGTGGAGCTGCTCATTCATTGCAGCAGTGAGGCATACGCAAAGGTCATCCATCCAGCATGGCCCCACAAAGGAAACCTTCGCCTCGGAAGCAATGCCTTCAAAGCTGAGCGAGTCGGCTTCCGGTAATTGCATGAGCAAACCTTCTGCATCCATAGCCTGTTGGAACTTTCGGAGGACCTTTGCCATCAAGAAACCAAAGATGACGTCTGCAAAAGAGTCACCCGGCCTGGTGCCAATCTGAGTGACGACCTGATCAGTTTGCATTGGCAACTTGAAAAAAGTGTCAGTATGCAAGGCACGGATGGCCCGTCTCAAGTGGCTGGGAATTCCCGCTTCCTCCAAAGCACATGGCTGTTGCAGCGCCGCATGGAGATCATGCAAGAAACCATCATCAAGGTCAATGCGTGCTGCCATGGCCGCCACAGACTCGTCATCGACTGGTCCATCGACAACTAGCGGACGCAGCACCCGATAAAAGGCTTCCTGTAAATCAATAAACAACAGGGCGGAAGGCTGTCCCTTGGATACACACAGGCGCTGGAATGCTCTGACCTGGTGACAGCCAAGCGTCACAGGTGTCCCTCGTCGTCCTCCCAGCTGTTGATGATGTAAGAATTGCTGGTAGAGGTCCAGCTGTTTCGTGCGGACAGCCTTGTGCATGACTTTCCCCAAACAGGATGAGAGCAGAATGGAACGAAAGGCTGAACACTGGTCCTTGAGCTGTTTCCCCTTCCAGATTGGCAATAAAATCCCTCCCTTATGTGCCAGTGCTTCATGTCCATGCGTACACGTCTTAAGCATGAGACTGTACAATTGGAGCGCAACCGCGCGGGGGCAGAATTTACAAATCTCTGAAGGGATGGCATCAAGTCCAGTTGCCTTCCCTGCCGCGGAGCGTCGGCATGCATGCTCAAGATCACACAGCGTGGGAATTTCCTCAACTGGAATCGCTAGCTCATGCTGCAGGAATGATTGCAAGTTTGATCTCCAGCGTGTCCACTGTTCCTGTTGCGTGGTTTTGGCACCGCCTTCCATTTCCCCAAAGAAGGTGATCCAGCGTTGGAGCGCATCCTCAGCTGTCCTGCAAAATTCTCCTTTCTCATCTTTGATCAAGGGCAGCGGTGCCAATCCCTGACGCAGCTTATTGCTTGGTCCTTTAAAAGGTTTGAGCAGCTGTTGAATCCTGGATGCAGGGGTGGCAGGGTCAACCTGTTGCAAGACTTCCTGGAGATTCTGTTGCTTGCTTTGCTTCAGATCCTGACGCAACTGTTTCGCAATCGTTGCAAATTCAACATACTTGCGAAGACCAATGATACGCAGCGATGTGCCGTAGTTGAATGAGAGGTCCGCAGCGCCTTTCTGATCAGGGCCATTGCGCCATGCTGAGAAGATACGTGCAACTGTTTCTCTACGGAGGAGTCTTCTGCACTGTCGAAGATCCCGTCTAGTTGCGATCTTCCTCAAGCGAAGGTTCCACAGTGAATCTGAGACATAGGGCTTCTTCGGTTTGTGCTTGTTCTGAGGATAGCTGGATGCAAGCTGCGTTCGAAAATGCGAAGCGATCTTGTTCGCCTGAGTTTCGACATCTTCCTGCCATGTGCATTGAATGGGTTGCTGCAAAAGAGTATCAATATCTTTGCCAATTTTAGTGCGGTCAAAGACCTCAGGTGCAGTGTGTGATTTCGGTAGAGTGGCAGAGGTCTGGGCCCATTGCAACTCAATCGCTGCTGCTGAATGGTCAATGTTCACATTGGCAAGGTCAAACTCTTGTAAAACGCAAGAATAATGGCACGCCGCCTGCCAAGTTCTCGGTATGGCTACAAAGTCAATCGTGTACTCTCCATCATCAGGCGACGTCCATGTGGTGACTGTGCCAATGTGGGCCTCGCTTGTAATTGGAAGGCAGAGGTCAAACTCCTCCAGAAATTCTCGCAAAAGAGGTGTCCCACTCGAGTGACGAAAACCAGGGTTGAAAACACACATGCCATCCGGCACACCTGGCCCCGCATTCGCGTCAATGCACATGAAGAACTGCTCACCAGCATGCATGAACCTCAAAATGATCTCACGTGTCTCTTCCCACCAGGTTTGTCTGTCTCGGAGTGCGATGCCACTTTGCGGTGCATGTGCTACAAGGCACCACGATCGGAAGTGCTCATTCTGGATATGGACAAGCAGACGGCGTGGATCCCTATGTGCAACATGAAAGTCCTGCCTTCGAAAGAAGAGTGGAGTCTTTTTGATGTGGGCAAAAGGCTGGTGCAAATTAATCCACAATTCAACACCCCACTTCCCCTGCAAACTGCCTGAGCATAGCCGCAAAATGCCTTGTTTCAGCGAAGCACCCTCTGAAGAACGAGTCTCCTGAATCCCAATTATGTTAAGGTGCAGCTCCAGGACCTGAGTGCGAAGGTAATCAAGCTTCCCGGCGAATCCTTGTTCAGCCGCACCTAGGGATTGTACATTCGCTGTGGCAACACTGAGTTTGTGGTGTACCGTCTTGCCCGGTAGTACAACGGAAACACTACTACAGGCTGCTGGCATGGGTGATGGCAGGGCAGGTGACGCAATATCAAAGCCAGTACCTATGAAAGCAGGTAATCCATGCGATTCATCAAAGATCATCCAGAAGAAGGGGATTTTTGGCAGCAATTTTGGAAGGTCAAACTCTGGGCGCGGCAGGAAGAAACTTGTTTTGGCTTCCTGTTTCGCAAGAGCATCAGTGAGCTCATTCCAGGGCTCGCTCAGGTGTCCATAGACATGGTCTAGCTCTACATCATCCTTTAAAGCAGACTTCAGAATTTGATAGCATCCTCTCAATGTTTGGAAGGACTGGTCACAAACAGGAGAGCCAATGGTTCCGTCAGCCTGTCCGATGGTCAGCAAGGAGTCACTACGGAACACAGTTGGAATACAGCTGTTGTATCCTAGTCTCCAAATGAAGGCCCAAGTTAGGGCCTCTCGCTCGGCGATAGCAGAACCGACATGGTGAGCCCCGATGTGCCACTGATGCTTGTCATCATATCTGACCTGATGTGCATGCCATCCTAACAGGGTGTACTCAAACGTGTCAGAGTCTACAATTGTTTCTCCAAGCACAACGAAGCACCAGGCATCGGGAACATCAATCTCTTCGTTGAGGGCCGGCGCAACATGTTTATGTCTTGACTGCGACGATCCATCTGCATAGATGATGAGCCTATCAAACTGTGAATGATTCTTGAGTCCCGCAATGGCTTCCTGCGTCACTGGTGGAAGTGGCAACCCCTCAGTGAGCTGACATAAATAATCATTTTCACAATGAAAAAAGGCATGCAAATCATCGAAGGTCACACCCAAATCCAAAAGACATGCTGGTAGTGGAGCGTCAGGTCCGGCAGTCCACATAGGACGATTCTTCATTCGGTCACCACGGGGATAAACTGGCCATGGTTTCTGGATTTTTTCCCCACTGGGGACAGCTTCCAAAGCACCACCTGCTTGCTGGAAGGTTACTTCAAGAAAAGAGGCATGGAAAAAATTGGTTTTGCAAATCACTGCTTTTTCAAAACCAAACTTATGAAGCAATGCCATCAATTGGATTTCGGACAGATCGGTTTGCTCAGTCAGAGTCAGGAAAGCTGAATCTTCGTCCGGGAAGGTCTGTTGAATATCCGTGAACAAAAGCAACAGCTTGTCTTCCTCAAACGGCCAAGGGTCCGGAAGACAGATGGCCAGGGTGTGATTTGCAGCTACTTCTACTGTACATGAGTGACCGAAACTGCGTATTTCTTGCTGAACGCGAGCTTTCGTGGGCAGACCTGTGAAAGATACAAATGATGGTACTTGTTCTCTCAGCTCTCCTAGACCAATAATGCGGATCGGCACCTCAGTCGAGGAACAGGTACAAGTCTGGTCAACGGTTGGTGCTCTGATATCCGTCAGGGAAGGATCTCCCTGATGCAAAAGGCTGTGGAGCTGGAGAAGGATCGGTCCTTCAGTCGCCTCTTCCTCAGTTGCAGCTGCTTGATCCTCATCAGGTGGATGGACATCCAAATGTGATGGCTGCGGTGAGGGCTGCAACTCAGCTAGTCCGGGGCCATTGCGATGGATATGAATGTCAAAACTATCGCCATTGGACATCTCGTGTGTCAGATCTGGCGTCTGAGGGATCTCATTCCACCTATGGAAAATCTGACATCTGTGTACTTGGCAAACTTGTTGAAAAGCAAGTTTTCTGACCAACCATTCTCCACTGACCTGTGGCCGGAAGGAGACCGCTACTGCAAATTGCGGAAATGTGGGGTCAGGGTGAGATGGATAAACCGAGATCAAACCTGACCGTCTTGGTTCTTGTACACCCTGTGTGACAATTAAATCAAACGCAAGGTGTTGTTCATGGGTCGTACGGAAAGGTCTGGGTTGGGCCAAGCAAATTGCGATTGCTTCAAAGGGGACTAATCTGTCTGCCCAGAGAGCTACGATGCGCGGCTGCCACAGATGAGGAGGACCTGATAAGTGCAGATATCTTGCAATCCTGGACATCCTACGATGTATGTGGTGGATATACCAGACTCTGACTACGAAGCCTTGTTGATTTCCATCTGTGCGGAGCATGTGAGCTTGCAAATCACGCATCATGTCAAAAACAAAGGTCGGAATTCCAACAGGTGCAGCTGCATGTGTAGGCATCGGCACTGGCGTCAAGTGTGGAGCTGAGCCAGCATTCTGTGCGAGACCTTGATTGGGCTGATCTGAGATTTTACACTGCCGGCTCTTGGGCGCAATCCGTTCGGTTTTGCAACCGCTAATAAGAGCTGATGGTCCAATCTGGGCAGCGCTGTTCCTGTCACAGGCCGCGTCCTCAAAATCAACACCAGAAATTGATGCCGCATGCTGTGAGTCATCCTGGAAAGGCACACTTTTTCCTGACAAAACAAGAAGGCTGTGCTCATCTCGTTCTTCCAAAACCTCAGCTGGAAGTGGAATTGGTCGCGGCCTAACAAGGACATTGATGCTCAGACCACTCCTACCTGGTATTGGTGCTCCAGCCGCCAGGGCAAGGTCCCTGTACCAGGCATGGCATAGGAGTGTTGGCGATGTACCAAAACAAACATCAAAAATGCCAAAAACCCTTGCAAGATTATCAAGCAAGATGTGTTCGTGGGTAGTGATCGCAAGCTGTGACACAGTCGTCTGCAGAGTCCGTTCATCAAACAAAGTGACGACATTGGTGACCCACTGTTCATTTGGTCGTTGAATCACTACTACATGCGCTGCAATACGGCGATCAACAGTGTAGGGCTGAGGAGTGACAAGGTGGTATTCCAGTTCCTGTCCGAGAACTACATGGTCTTGCCACGCCTGCGAGATCTGCCGGCGCCAATCTTGCAAATCCGAAAAGAGCCGCACACTTCGTGGTGTGCGTCCATGTGGGTTTGGCCATTGGTGATCAACAAACCATGTCAGAATCAAACTGGATCGCTCCTCATTCTCCCATGCCACAGCTACTTGATTCCATGCCTCAAACAAATCTTGTATAAATTCATCATGAGTGTGAAGATCCCAGGGTATTCCAGGTACAAATACTGGCGCATTGATTTGGAACTGGAAAGGGCTGCTCTCATGCGGTTGTTCCGGCAGATTGACACCGCAAGTGCGTGGTGCTCTTGTGAATCTATGTCGGTCAGCCTGCATATACGATGAGATGTCATGATCTTCAGTTTCCTCAAGAGGGCATGATTGTCCAGCGGCAGTCGGCACTAATGTCCAGTCAACAAGGTGCAATTCAAAGTGCGCCCCAGTCTGAGGAAACAATGGACGGACTTCATCAAGTGATTCCCTGCCGAAAAACCCTACGCAAAGAAATTCTCTGGTCTGACATTCAACATGAAAGCCTGCAAAATGAACCAGATCCGGAAAAACAATGCGTTTTGGCGCAACTACTGCACGTCGTGAGTGCAGCTGTGAGGATCCCGCATGATGAAACGTGCTGAGAAGTATGCCTTTATGCCTGCTGTTTAACCCTTGGTGAACCAAAATATGACCAGGCGATGGGTCCTCGTCGTCAGCAGGAGCAATAATGCTGACTTCAAAGGCTTGGCCAGGTTGCATACGGTCTCGCCAAAGGGAACGGATTTGCCGATCCCAGTCTTGTCTCTGTGGAAACAAAGTGATCCTTCTGGGATTGTCGCAAGTGGGCCAAATGTTACAATGCACAAACCATGAAGTGAAAGTAACTGCTGCTTCTTCAATCGAGATGGCGAAGATTGGCGTAACTTGATGCCAGTGCTCATACAATTCATCTAGATGTCTTCCGTCATTGATGTCTTGTCCATGCACTGGATGTGTGTCAGGAATGGGCACTTCAAAATTGCCATCTCTCTGCTGCAAGGCTGGGCCCAGTAATCGCAGAGTGCTAGTGAACATTCCCTGCGGATGGTTAGCCTGTAAAGAAAGCAGCGTAATGTCCTCATGTTCTTCCTCCGTCTCAACCGAAGTGCTGGCTGTTTCATGCGGCTGTTGGGAGGCAATCAAATCAATGCTACGTGACGAGGGGTCAACTCGTGTGGCCGGTATTTTCAACTGAACGCCTAAACCATCATGAACTCTGATGTCCGCAGCAACTGGCAGCTCTCGCTGTCCAATCCATGTGGTGCAACCGGGACTGCTGCAGAGGTCTTGGACTTCAGCCGCCTCGACCAATTGCGTCTGAGTCACAAGAGGACCAACTGAAATGGCTGCGCTTCGTGCATGTCTGATCTCCTGTGTGTCAGGATGCGCAGTCACTACAATCGCAAACTTCTGTGGCAGCGGATGTTGAACTACTAGCACAGTGGCGACAGTCCCTTCATAGATAGTCGCTGGCGGGCTAGGACTTACAATCAGCAGCTCAAGGGGAGCAGTCGGATCGATGAAGTCTTCCCACATGAACCTCACACTGGCCTCCCATGTTTCATGTTCTGCATCAAATCTCAATGGGCGGGACACTTTATTGACCGTGGTGTGTGCATGCGAAATGAAGAAAGACTTCACATAAATGATTGGCCCTTCCTCTTCCATTTCTGTAG